ATTTCTTTTTGTATGTAAAGCTGATTTCGGAAATTCCCGGGATGTTTTGTTGGGTGGCATTTTAAATTATAGTATTTTCTGATAATTTTGTTTTGGACATAATGGCAATTACGGAAGTTTCAAGGAAATTTCTGTTGGCACTCTTGTGTGTCTTTTAGTAGTGTGATAGATATTTGTTAGTTTCGGAAATCTGAACATACGTCAGATCTATGTTCAAATTAACAAAAAGAAGAAACTAAATGTCTACGGAAAGATTCTATACTTTTATTGCTTGATGATTTGTTTCAAATGATTGGAACGAATTCGAGGTCAACTAATTTATCTGTGAGACTAGTTTTTGATCTTCCCCATTTTCTCTGGACAATCTAATATAATTCACCTGATTCATGAGTTTCTAACCAGAATTCAGTCGCACTGTACTGTGGTACTTTTGATCAAATTCTCTAATAAGAATTGGAAAGTTGTCCAGAAGAAACACACTTTTCAGATTTTATTTTTTCAGACGACTCGAGTCACTCACGTTCTGATACCCAGCCTGACATCAGTTAATTCTCCAGAGATACAAGTAGCACTCAAAACTCTCATATCTTTCATATTAGCGAACAACTTAATCAAAAATCTATTTGTTCATAATAGTATAATCTTCATTGATTTCAATACCATATTTATATTCAACTGAATTGCTCAGTTCATATTCTATTTATAGAATGTCTTTCAAAATAAACAAAATTTCAACATTTCGCTTATAAATGTGCATAAAACATTTATAGAAAGTATCTGGACGTTTCATTATGACTAGTCTCAGTTAAATTCTATCATTCTATTGTCTTATTTATTGAATCCAAAAAACAAAACATTCCGATCAAATCAAATAGATTCAGCATTACATGCCACTCATTTGCTATGATAATCTTTGCATATAAATTATTTATATATGTTTGTTCAATGATGTATTTTATGTATTAAAATAGGTCTTGACTGCATCATATCATATACATCCGGCTTTCTTCGACTTTTGATTAATCTATGTTCCTCCTTTATGACAATGAGCTGTGTTATGTTTGCATGTTGCACCACTGGATCCGTTGCCAGAAACTTGATTATCATTAACACACGCGCGTATATGCACACACGCATGCACGCACGCACGTACGTACGTACGTACGTTCCATCTTGTCTTATTCGCATATGTCATTTTTTAGAAAACAGTATAAAGTTTTTTTTCTTCTATGAGATTGATATCATTATTGATGGACAGTGCCTCTTTCTCCATTTTGTTTTGTTTGTCTTGTTGCAATGTCCAACATAGAGAGACATCGAAGTGAAATGATAATGATGACAGTAAAGGCGATGATCAATTTTCTTTTTTATCAAATCTGGCATTTTGCCGCTAGTGGCAGCTTCTATTATCAGTTTCACTCTCCAATGTCACGCGATCTGATCTGATTTGTTTTGTTTTATTTTATTTTCCCACTACTGTTTTGCATTTTCTCTCATGTTTTTAATATCAGCCTGCAATATTGATAATCTTTCTGTTTCGTCTATATTTATTAAAATTTTCTAGTACCTCCCCGTGTTCATTCACTTTCTCTATATTTATATTCGATTTAATTTGTTATTGTTGTTTCTATCTTTTCACTTGACCGATTCACTTATAAACGTATATATGTATATATATATATATATATGATCTTGTTCTTCTTATCTTATTCAAGTTTAATCATTATGAGCTTGAATGAACTTCGAAAAATTTCTTTATGTGTATATATATATATATATTATATCTCTATGATTCTATTCAAATAGATTGTATGACGCCATAAATTTAAAGTAAATCTTCACATGATAAATAAAATTGTTTGGGGCGTGACTTTACTAGACTGTACATTTCGAATTAGCATACGAATGGGAAATTTGCACGTAAACTTGGAGTGTACCTGTCATGATCAGTTGCAATCGAGAACAGGATGTTGACTTGAATAAATAGATATCTCTCTTCATGTCTTATCGTGAAAAGAAAGAAAGTTGATGACGATGATGATGTTGATGAACAATCGTGTTTACTTGATGAATAGCAAAAGGATAAGTGTTACAAAATTTAGGCGGCAAGTGGTTCAAATTGTCAAGCAACGCCTCAATTGTTTTCTTCCTAAGCTTTATATTTATCTATTCTTTTTTGAATTTTGATTGGTGAAATAAATAGAAATTGAATTTGTTGCGTGAAATGAATACATATTGTTCTTGATCGCGAACAAAGAGAGAAAGAGAGACAACAACAAAAAGAAACATTGAATTGATTTTTTTGTTCGTGATCAACCTGCTTATGGTTAGAAGCCGAAACTAAAACTAATCTGAAGTGTTCTTCGTTCATATCCACTTATTGGTCATTTACGGCGTGATGCTGCACGCTGATATTCATTTGCATAATTCAATCAAGTTCACATTTTTTGCATATATTGAATTTGAGTTGTTCTTCTATGTATATGTGTGTCTATTTTTTTTATCGTTGGTAAACCAATAGAAATTAGACTCGTGCTAATTTTCTCACACGATGAACCAATCTGATCTAGTCATAAAGAAAAGAAAACGAGCGTGACTTCTCTTTTACTACTAATACACATGCGATCACTATCTAGTAATTAGTAAAACAAAGATGGATGATGACTTCCTGCTTAACTGCTAGATCATAAATCGGAAAAAGCAAAGCACAGAAAGACAAGAAGATCAAGAAAAAAAAGGAAAAATGCAACGAGAAGTAGGAGGGGACGACTTGCTGCAATTATGAGAACCAAATAAGTCGGCGAACAAACGATAGCACAAAAAAAAGCAAGGATAGTAAAATGTCTTTCTCTCTCTCTCTCTCTCTCACCGTTCTAGGAATTCAATGTTGCTGCTGGCTTGTTTGCCTTTCTTTCGAATCGAAGTGGTAATCGGCGGCAATACTCGAAATCATTCAAACGAAGAAAAAAAAGAGCAAACAAATGTATGCATACACTAGATAGCATGAGCGATAAAAAACTATAAAAAAAAGGTGAAAGTGCTGCTGTCTGTCAATATTTCATGTTATTATTAAAAGCGAAAGAATTATATATGCAAAGGAGTATACGAAAGATGAAGTTGAAAAAACCATTACTTTTCTCTTCATGTTTTTTTTTTGTTTTAACTCATAAAGCGTCCCTTGAGTTCTTCACCTCAATACGATGTGATAAAGTAACAAAAATGATATGCATTTTCACATACATCGAGAGATAGCTATTTTTGATAAAGAGTGAAAAAAGAAAAAGGAGAAAAAAATTGACTCGGTCCATTAAATATAACAACACAATTATCAATTGATTGATACCAATCATTATATTGAGAACGTTTTATTTTATTGTCGCATTTAATATATATGCATATATATATATATATATGTTTGTTACCTAGCTAGCGCGTGTTATAATCACAAACACTTCATTTACTCAGCGTAAAAAATTGACCGGAGGGTTGTTCAACACGAAATCAAAACTGTGATTTTAATCTTAACAATATTTTACAATATGTTCATCAATTTTGCCCAAAAAAAATGTTTTTTTAACATATGTAAAAATATGATCTTCGCTGTTTGCAGTACTCTTTGGAGTTATTCGAAAATTAACTAATCAATAGAAATGTAAGACAAGAAACTAGACTGATGATATATCGCAGAGTTGTGTCAAGACATGCCATAAAATATACAAAAGCTATCTTTAATTTAAATTCATATGGAAACAATAGAGAAACTAAGGTTGCTTTTTTTACATAGATGATGATAATGACTATAAAATGTATCTTAAAATTCATTATAAATCATATCGACTACTTTTCATAGAGAGAAATCTTTGAGAAAAAGTCAGTCATCTGCACTAGATCTACTAATGAAGAATCTATTTGATATACGAGTAAGTATGCCATCAAAACTCATTTTCATCATGCATAAAATATCGTGTTTCAATTCATATTCTATCGTAGAAGTCTCTCTCTCTCTCTCTCTCTCTCTCTCAATTCGTAATGTAGAATATCTGAGAAAAAATAGATGATAACATGATTTTCGAAAAGGTTTTTATTCCTTGTTCACACGCAATCATCGAAACAATCGTTCGATCGCGCTTCCGTTAATCTACTCTCAACCAATAAAGTCTGGTCGGCTATTGACTCTTTCTTTCTCTCTCGTGATGATCGTCACTTGATTAATTGATAAGGATTAGTTGTGTGTATCATTCTTATTATATGCGTATGTCCTCATTTTCTTACTCCGCCTCTCTTGTCTTATTTATTTGGTACGATCTATATCGTTTTTTCTTCTCTTCGCGTGTCATCGTCCAGACTAAATAGGCATGGTAAACAGAAACGTTAATGTGAATCTTCGATATGAGTGAGAAATCATGTCGTCTAGATCAACTTAACATTTTGACCTAATCGGCTTTGGACGCACATATACACACAACATTGCACTGACGGTAGTAGCAAATTAGCGCTCATTGCTCTTCTCTTCTCTTCTCTTTCTTCTCCTTCATCTTTGCTCGAACACAACCGTCGCGCATATTCGCGCTCAGGGATTGGCAGAAAAAATTACCATAAATATACGACGGCGCCGTGATTAGCTAGCGAACGAAGAGAAATAAAAGAACGGGAAGAGAGAGAAAGAAACAGTAGTTTAATTATATGCGTGAGAGGTCTCCGGTCTGTTCTGAGTGTCATAATGGTGTGGAGAGTGTCGCTCGCTTGTTCGTTCGCTCGCACATCATGTGTTACGAGCAGTATCAATCAAAAGAAAGCAACGAAAAGAAAAGGAGAGAAAGAGAATAAGCGACAGCAAGAAGAAAAAAGAATTGGCGAATAGAAATGCGAGAAAAGAGAAAAAGAGAGAGTGTGAACATACGAGTTAGCAACTCGCCGACGCCGCCCGAGTAATTATTGGGTGGTAGCAAAGCACAAAAAAGCGCGACACTACAACATATACGCATACATACACACGAAGAATGTCAGCAGTGACAATGCCAAAATCGGATTTCACTGTTTCATCATTACTCAATTCATCAAATACTAATACATCAACTAACACGAATATAAATACTGCTGCTAATGTCACAGCAAATTACCTTAATTTTTTATCGAAATTTCGACCGATGGGGTTTTCAACACCATTATCAACACCAAGAGATCTTTTAGTTCCACCACCGCCACCAACAACAACAATACCACCGCCTCCTTCTGAATCGATGCATCGTATACAAGATGATAGTGTACATGATGATCCTAAAGTTGAGCTTGAAAGTAAAGATTTATGGGATCAATTTCATCAACATGGAACTGAAATGGTGAGTTCTTAGCTAAAAAATCTTTTTATTCAATAACAAAAAAAATTTCATGTTTTTTTTTTTTCTTTATAGGTAATCACAAAAAGTGGAAGGTACGTTGAATTTATCAGATTTCTTTACTTTGAGGCGTGTCACTTAAGAAAAGGTGAAGCGCATAAAAAGACTCCACTCGTAAATGACGCTTTTTTTCTTTTTCTTTTTTTTGGAGTGTGTGCGTATGAATCGAAATAAAAGAAGACATTGAAAATATGAAACTTATGCATGTTATATACATGCATGTATACCTCTCTCTCTCTCTCTCTCTATATATATATATATAAATGTATCTGAATATGATGAAAAGGAAAAGTAACAAAAGGAAATTTTTTTTATCTCATCTCAGTTTACAATTAGTAAGATTAGTCAAACGAATAAAAATTTGAAATTTAATCGAATAGAAAAACATTTTCTTTTCTTTTATTGATTTTATTATCATGGTGAAAACATCCTTTTGTCTTCTTTAATCAACACTCCTCCGCCCCTTGTTCTCTTTTTCTGTATATTCTAAGATGAGAGAGACAGAGAGAGAGAGAGAGAGAGAACCTCCAGCTTGATAATCCCCGATAAACACTCTATCTCGTTTCTCACAAAAAGCGCTCATTTAGTGATGTGTATAAGATATGTTTGCATCTCGTTCGTGGAGGCTTTGATTCTATAATTATCTATCGCCCAAATGTCAATCCTTTTCGCTTTTTCTTATTCAAAGGATTATAAAGTAACAAAAAATGAAGATCTCACTATAAAATAAATTAAAGAAACAAAACAAAGAAGAAAAAAAGGAAAGAAACACATAAGCAACTGTGACTTTTCAGCTAATGGGGACGTTCGCATCCTTTACTCTGTTTATATATCTAAATAAATGGCATTCAGAAACAAAAAAGCCAGATACTAACAAATTGTTAAATGACACATTAGAAGACATATACATATATATTTGTATGTCTCTTAAGAAGGGCGGATACAAATCTAGGTTCATCAATATATAAATACGACTTAATGTTTTTTTTATAGACGAATGTTTCCACCTTACAAAGTTAAAGCAACAGGTCTGGATAAACGAGCAAAATATATTTTATTAATGGATATTGTCGCTGCTGACGATTGCCGATATAAATTTCATAATTCACGTTGGATGATTGCTGGAAAAGTAAATAATCAATAAATTCTATTTATTTCATATTACGATTATTGTTTTTCTTTTTCATAGGCTGATCCAGAAATGCCAAAACGAATGTATATTCATCCTGATTCACCGGCCACTGGTGAACAATGGATGTCAAAAATTGTTTCATTTCATAAACTTAAATTGACCAATAATATATCAGATAAACATGGATTTGTATGTTGATAAAAAAAAGAGCAAATTTACAACTTGCTTTTTATTTCTTAATATTCTTTATTTAGACAATATTAAATTCAATGCATAAATATCAACCACGTTTTCATATCGCACGTACAGATTCAATTGTTGATTTAGGTTGGTGTCCGTTTCGAACATTTATTTTCAAAGAAACAGAATTTATTGCTGTGACTGCATATCAAAATGAAAAAGTATATTAAAAAGTTTAGAAATTGATATTTTTCTTATCAGAGAACTTTTTTCCTTAAATGATTTAGATTACTCAACTTAAAATTGATCATAATCCATTTGCAAAAGGTTTTCGTGATAATGGACAAGGTAAACGAGAGAAAAAACGAATTATGCTTAATGATCATCATCATCATCGTCATCATCATACCAATAACGATGATTCAGATGATAGTGATGTATGTGTTGATGAAACAACAACGACAACAACACCAACAACACCAGCAAAAGCGAATAATTCAACTAAACAAAAAGATGCTCCATTACACAGTTTATTATTTACTGCAGCTGCTGCTACTGCACAAGCTCAAGCTCATCATCCACTGCGACATCATCCGTATGCACATCCCCATTATTTTCAATATCGAAATTATCTATATGAACAACAACAACAACAGCAAGCTGCTGCTGTAGCATTTCGATTAGCCAATCATAAACGAGAACGCGATGAAGATGATGACGACGATGACGATGAAAATAATGCCGATGCTGATTCAAATAAAAGAGTTAAACGTGAACGATCGAACAGTGCTGGAGCAACAAGTATTAGTAGTAGTTCAGATGAAATAACAACATCTACAAATAAATCTTCAAAATTACCACTACCACCACCACCGCCGCAACAACAACAACAACAACAACAACCAACACAGGCAACAATAAATGATGAACCTATTAAACCAGATCCCTTAGCAATGTTTAATTCAAATTTAACTCCTCAACAACTTTATTGGTTTTTACAAGGAAATCCAAATACTAATAATCCACTTCCACCAATCGCATCCAATTTAACAGCAAATGATTGGTATGAAACACTTTTCTTACAACGGCGATCAACAATGCCATTACCACAAATGATTCAACATCCATTTTCAAAGTTATTTGCTCGTTCATTGCCACCATTATTACCAATTCCACGTATGACTTCACCACAATCAACAAGTCCGAAATAATTGAATTGAATTATAATATTAATAATAATAATCAGTGTTGTTTTCTTTTTCTTTTCTTTTTTGTTTTGTTGAAAAGCATTCTCTATTTAAAAAACCAGCAACAGTTTGTATGTGTATATTTTTTCCTTAATCTCTTTTTCTCTTTTTTTCTCAACGAATAAAACTGAATTGTATCATAAACACAGCTTGATTCGTCGCCTGACTGGTATTATTCTGTCGATGATTGCTGGATTATGTTGCCTATATATATATATATATACATCAAATGAGTTTGAACGTTGTCACAGCTTCTTCTCTTCGACCGAAAAAACGATTAGTGACATGCAATCACCTCGGTTTTAGACAGAAAAGAAAAGAAAATTTCTATCGATCGATTTATGTCTCCAAGTTTAGAAATCTATTTCAGTTAGTCTCCTGTCACTAACTGACAAGTTAATCACGGACACTGTTTGATGACAAAACACGCTATGCTACACAACGGGTGGCAAGAGAAAAAAGCATGATATTCTTTTTACAAGAAAATAAAATCAATCAAAAAAAACAAACAAAATGAACGCCTGTCTCGTGTCTCGTCTCTCGTTTCTCTCTCTCTCTCTCTGTATTTGTCTCTAATGGGTGTCGATCAATACACAATCACCATACGCCGCCCATATTTTGACAATATAGATTTGTTCTCATCATTATCTCTTTTCTTTTTTGTTACTCTTATCTTAATAAACAAGAAAAAGTTGCAACTGTTCGTTAGACGTTATTTTAACTCAGCAAATGACACTCATTTATCATTCATACTAATTCATTTGGCTATCGTCGCGTCTAAAGGTCATGTAGAAAGCTAATTGAAAGGCAATCGATAGACAATCATCATCCGATTAACTCCTATGTTTCTTTTTTTTTCTTCTCGTTGGTCAAAAAAAAAACAAAACGAAGAATGGAGAAAGAGGAAAAGAGCAAGAACAAGAGCACTTGATTAACAAGCCAGATAATGATCAATTTCTCTCCTTCATTTAACTGTACATCATCACTGACAACACAACAGCAATTAACGCCAATCATCCAAGATGATGTGACGAGTCAGCCGATACTTTAAATATAGTAAATCACAGCACAGATGCCTATCGACACTTTAAACACATGTACTTAGATACATCCAAACCAAGCACGAAGAAAAACAAAATATGTGTCCATGAAAATTTTTCTCGTCACATTTTTTTCATTAATAATAAGTCAAATTATTTTTCAATTGAAAAGAATCGTCAGCTGTCGGTTATTTATTTAAATAAAGACTACGAGAAACCAGTAGATTTTCAGTTAGTAAACGTTCTAATAAAGAAGAAAGAAAACACACACACAAGATGATAGATTGTCTTACATATTAATATTGTAGCACTATGTCAAAGAAAGACGTTGCACTGATGTATGACCGACATCAAAATTGTGATACAGATTTTAAGTTATTTTACAATTCATTTATGTGCAAAATACAATGGGGATTAACGAAAATATTCTCTTTGAATGAACGACATATTTACTCAGCAAATAATGGATTTTGTCATATTATCATACGCTTAAGTCAGGAAGGGATCAGTTCAGTTCAGTTCTGAAAACTGTTGAATAAATTCTCATATTTAGTTTAAATATAACAAATAAACTTTTTCATATAAATGCTATTTTAATAATTATATCAAATAGTATTGATGATTTATTAGTTAGCTTCTGGAGATTTGATATCGTCAAGTTTCAATACGGAAATAAAGAAAAGAGTATGTTTTTGTTGTAATAAATCTAGCATAGATTTGAATCCATCCGTATTTGAATAGTAGAAAATCAGTATTTGTGTAAATGTTGACAAACACAAAGTATGCGCTTACAAAAACAATCATCTACATAACTCTACTGACGATTTCACAAAGAGTTAAATTCCTTCTAAATAGAAAAATACTCTTTTGTGTAGCAGACTTATTCAAATGATTAGCATTCTGGTTTTTTTTATAACATAGTTTTATTTTGAAAACAAAAATTCGAGAATTTCAGCTAAATAATTTTTCACACCTACGAAAGTTCAATTCTGTCAATAGATGACAGTAGTGTCTATTATAGCGTCATAATATAGAATTGAGATTTGTTCGTTTTTTCAGTTTTCATCAAAACTTTAGACAATATAAAATAACTGCGTTTGTATTTTAATGATAAAATTATTTCCAAGAAACCATGAACACTATATCGCTACTTGCAATACAATATTTGGGAAACAAATAGCGCTCATATTTGAATTGATAGTTTTTCACCAATGAATTATCTCAGAACGATAATACATTTTATTTCAAGTACAAAAAAAAAATTTCGCAAAATATAAAGGGATTTACACATCGGCGATAAGCATTTTTTGCTTTCACATTTTCGAAATAGTTGTCATTAGAAAAGAAAGCGTTTTACACGACGAATATATTGGGAAATTTAGATAATATCTTCAGATTTTATGTTCTAGTTAAAAATAAATCATCCTGATGGCTACGAGTACTGCTGTTAATTCAACAGGACAACCTCGAGAACTTTGCCGGTTTGTTTAGTTTTCACAGATGATGTAAGATTGTAGTTCTATATCTATGTTTATGTCTGCAGATATTTTCTTTCCAATGCATGCCGTTACGGTGACAAATGTTTTTATTCACATGATCGATCGACTGCGCAAGTCAATAATGTCTGTCGATACTACCTACAAGGAAAATGTAATTATGACAATCGTTGCAGGTATAATATCAACTATGCTTGTCTCTATTTAATGATGATACTTCTCGTTTTAAGATATGATCACGTTCGACCAAAAGCCCAAACATCTACTAATACGTTTCAATTTAATTCGATGCATTCTCATCTCCCAATACAACACAATATTATTACAAATCAATCATATCCTGTCAACAATGGAGGTAGAAAGTTAAAATGTTTTCTATATTAGTTTCTACTAAATATTTACTATTAGTATCACTGAGCTATGCAAGTATTTGTCGTGTTAATAATGATAATATCGAATCATCCCATATAAGTCAACCAATATCTTCATTACATAATGGCACATTTTCACTTCAGTCTCTTTGTCCATATGCTGAAAAAGATGGTGTATGTGAAGCATTGGAAACAGGACGATATTGTCCATATATTCATGGTGATGTATGTGATCTATGTGAAATGCCAGCATTACATCCAACAAATGAAAAACAACGAGAACAGCACCGATTGGTAAAGATCATGAATGTTCTTTTTTCCCCTGTTCTCCTATTAATAAAGAAGCGAATTGAATTGTTTTTTTTTGAAGGAATGCTTACAAAAACATGAAGCTGAATGTGAAGAAGCATTTGCTATTCAACGTAGCGAAGATAAGAAATGTGGTGTTTGTCTCGAAACAGTATGGGATAGAGATGGAGATAAACGTTTTGGCATATTAGAAAATTGTGACCATATCTTTTGTTTGGAATGTATAAGAAAATGGCGGGCATCATCTAATTATGAGCATAAAGTTGTTAAAGCTTGGTAAAGAAAAAAATATATTAATTTGTAAGAATAAAAACAGAATAAATTACATTTCTTTTATAGTCCAGAATGTCGAGTAAAATCAGATTTTATCACACCGACGAAATACTGGCCAGAAAATGAACAAGCTAAACAAGAAGTAATCAAAGCGTATAAAGAAAATCTTCAGTAAGTTTAGATGATTGTTTGTTTCATATCTATTGTTCGTTGAGTAAAGAGTTTTCCTTGAGCTCATTCACGAAGTAAATAGATAGAGTTTTTAACAAGATTAAGTTTTTCTCTAGAGCACTCGAAAATCTTATTTCATAACATTGGCTCATTTATATTTAAGTATATTTTCAAGATAAATACGAGTACATGAAATTTGTGGACACTTCAGGCAAAAAATTAGATTGAAGTATTGATCTATCGGCTAAAGATGACTAATAATATTTATTGATGGCGTCGATCTATAATTCAAAAATGATCCTAATCTCTTCTTGACTAGCACAGATCTATCTAAAATTCAGTAGGAATCATGGTAATGTTGAATTGCCATGACATGCAGTCTAACCATTCCCTTTTTGTTTACATCAGCGTTATAAACACTTCTTACAGTGCATTGATAACATCATTCAACTGTTAGTAGTTGTATTAATTATGATGAAAGAAAGATTTGCACAAATAACTCATTTTTATACCGAATTTGTTTTTTAATTCTTATCCATCCATGAAACCTTTATCCTTCCCCGTAATTCTCTACTAGTGAGAAATAGACATATATCTCATATTACAGATCTTTTGTGTTGTTCTACTCTGAAAATTTATTACTATACATTGATTGAGAATTGATAACATCATGTAAAAAAACTAGATAAATAGGGCTCCAGTTGATTGTTTTATTAATTTACTCTTCTTATAATCAACTATAATGACAGCTGGTTGTATTGACTTCAGTTTTTATTTCTCAATAGACAAATTCACTGCAAATTTTTCAAACGTGGCGATGGTCTTTGTCCATTTGGTTCGAAATGTTTTTATTTACATGTTGATAAAAATGGTCAGCCTGTCCAACTTGGCCCACCACGTCGTCGCCAACGTATGAATGCTCGTGGAGAATTAGAAAATTTTTCCGATGTTTTCATGCTAAGTATCCTTTCGAATGAAGATTTTGGTCGACTCTTTGAGGAGTATGTATAAAACAATTTCGTTTATGAATTAATAAAGAAAAAAGCAATTTATTTTATTTAAAGATATGATTTCCTATTTGATGATGATGATGATGATGATGAATCACATGGTTCATATTTTACTGATGACGATGATTTTCGTTTGGCTGATGAACATGATGTATCTGACGACGATGATGACGACGAAGATGATGATGAAAACGACGATGATACAAATCGCATATGGCATTAAAATTACCTGTCTACGTAAAAAATAGAAAATCTTCTGAATGACACACGCACATATTTCGTTTGATATGCCTACAGCCATTAGTGAAGATATTCCCTACATATTAGCCATATTCTCTATTCTATTCAAAAAGATGATTTACACCAATTTTATTTATATTTATTTACACATGTATGCCCATACTTGATTTATGTTTGTACATGACGGTATTGGTGCGTGGGGGTGTTAGTTGGATTTCAACAACAGTATACAACAGCAGATGTTTTTTTTTCTTTTTCTTTTTTTTCTTATGCACATTAAATAAGAACTCATCGATATCTAGAATCCAATCGTTTTTTTCCTCTTTTTATATTTGAGAATTCCACATACATAAACTGATAAGGACACATAGTTCTTGTTATGATCAAGGCAATCTTGTTTTTTCTAAGGAATGATATGATGCATGACGGATTTTTAGGAAGATTTAGCTTTACGGAAGCGAACACTTATAAATTGATTGATTCAATTCAAATTCTTCGAATGAATCTTGAAAAAAAATATTTAAAAAAGAGTGTTATTATTCTAGAAGAAATTTGATAACAGTTTGATAATAAATCAATTGAAAATGCTGGAAGAACACTTGTTTTACCGTACCGAATGATAAAAGTAAAACGCATAGTTGTACAAGATTTCACGATTGACTTTTATGGGGCTGTTCGTATATACTACGATGGAAGAATTGAAAACTTGATAGAAAATTTTTCTCTATGGAATCAATAATTAAAATAATTCATAAGATTGGGTTTACTCACACTCTCATTCGATATCATTCTAAGTTTGTTGGCACTTCACAAGTTGTTTCTGTCTGTATGACAATAAAAATGTGACCGTTAATCATCGAGAACTGTAGAAGACCTGCGTACATCGAAGGATTCTTTTTGTGTACTCAAAAAGTGAGTACACTCTAGAATCGGTCAGTGTGTCCGGCCGTAGGCACGATAACTTTCGAAAGGAGAGTCAGACCGTGATGAAATTTTCTACACAGTTCAATCTCATGAATATCTCGGTCGAGTTCGAAGATGAGAAGAATCCCTCAAGAAATGGTTGAGTTATCGAAAAAAATTTTCTTTTTTGACCAGGCCATCCCTGAGGAGGAGTACAGGGAATTTTTTTCAAAAAATAAATCTTTCTCAGAATTATTCACAACATATATAAATCGACTCAGTTTTTAACGCTGATTCCGAATCTGATATTAGTTTTGAGCTAAACCGTAGCTTTCTGATGAAACATCGCCTGAAAAACGTCTCAAAATGCACAAAAACTGCATCCAGAAATCAAATTGCCTAGTTTCTCATGATAATTTGGGTGTTCAGACATTCTAGAATGACTCATATATCCCATGCACTTTTTGCAGTACACAACTTTCGGATGAAATCCGAAGTTTCCACATTTATTTTAATCTCGATACGCTATACCGTAAGGACACATGCGTGAATTCAAACTAATGATATTAATTGGAAAATTGCTATTGTGTAGGAAATATTTTATTATCTCAAATATCGCTATAAACATGTTCGCGCGAAGTTATCAGTTTCACAGATATGACTGAGTTGTCATCTACATTTTACTAATAATATATCTTTAGAAAACATTATTTTCCCCTAAGAATAATTTATCAGTGAAGAAACATAATTTTTTAATTGATCTCATCTGGACACAAAAATCGAAAAAAAACATTCATGATTATAAATGACCCAAGTTATAGGAGACTTTAATGAAAATCAAACTTCTACGAGCATAAATTTCACACTAGATTTTCAAAATACAAGACTCAAGTTACAAAAAGTCTCTTCATAAATTCCTTTTTGTCTAGGAAAATTCTCTATACATCGAATCGACTCGTTTTTATTAAAAAATTCTAATTGTATTATTTATGTGTAGCAATAAAAAAAGCAAGGCAAAGTTGACATACACATGGTAATGATTGCAAAAAGAAACTCTGTAAACCAGATTCAAGCCAGTGATCGAAAGATTACAACATAGGGCACCCCTACAATTTTCCATTCTACCAACTCAATCATAGTGAAATCTTGAGCTTTTCTCAAAAATAGACAAATTAGAATAGACACATCCACAAAGACACACTCGTCAAAGCCTATCAAAAAAATGAGAGAATAGGTTATAGAACAATTAATCTTACGATTAAGTTACATGATTGTTTTCATATAAACTATTGAATCAAAATTCGATTTTGACTATTAATTTTCTTAACAAATAAAGTTATACGAACATCATCCGACAAAGAATACTCTGTAAAAAAAGAGTCTACCAGAAATAAACGACACTTTTCGATTAAATTATCTGACACTTCACAGATGTTTCCGACAGATTTGCACTGACAAATTCGAATAACTGAAGTTGGCTTTTGGCAATGTAATCTCATGAATTCGCAATTCTTCGAGTACAAGGACATCGAAAAACATTAGGACATGCACTGTTTTTATACAGCGTGCGGTAATGACTGTTTCTGAAAAATAACCTTTCGAATTGAATAGAAACAAATATTGAAAGTCCTGATTCATTTCAGAATACCGAAACAATTTGACTTTTTATGCTCGTTAAAATGTACCATTTACATTTTATTAATGAAAATATGGAAAAGATTTCAAAAATCGATTAAATCAATAGAGTTTTAGGTCTTTTTTACATAACTTTGAGGTTTTTATATTTGACAGATCATAAAATTTACTAGCTGAAATTTTTATAAATTTTAAGTTCGATTTTAAAATCTTCATCGTTAATTCGATCTGAATAAACTGTAAATAGAACAATATTAAATTTTAGTAGATGAATTTCTCGACATCTTATATAGTCTAATAGAATAAAATTTTCATAAGTATAATACAAGCCTTTACATACCATTTCATATAGACATGCAATAGAAGATCAATGAATGTCCAAGCGCACCATCTTTCATAAAATATTCTGTTGGCTATTTATTTATTTCATTCCTATACATGTACATGTACATGTGATTCATTCATCGAACGAAGTCAGCTGGGTGGGAATCAGTAATTCAAATATATAGAATGTCCCATCATCGTTCTTTAGTAAATCATGAATTGAACACGAGTCGTGACCCTCGCAATCGTGATCGTTCACGTTCTGATATTCGTCGACCAAATAGCACTGATACATTTGCAGCATCAGTGCCGATTATTCAACCTTTAAAACAGGAACAACCCACTCCGACAAATGGTGTACTGGAGTTTTTCAAAACTCTTGGTCTTAATTCACAATTAATTCAGGCATTAATTAATGCGAATCCTCAAAATAGTCAACCAGTTCAACAACAACAACCTCAGCAACCATCAGTAAACACTGCTCAAGATTTTGCTTCATTTCTCAGTCATAGCTATGGGCTTAATTCAACTGTAATGCCTACACCTAATCAATCAGTAAATAGAGGTAAGAATAATTTTTCTTTATGATGAATAATAAAATTTTCTCTTTCTAAAGATCCTCGACGTCGACAAATATCGATGGTAACTAATCCATCAAATTGTAATCAAATGTTATCAAATACTGTTTCATCGAATTTTGATCGACCAACTGATCCTCGTTCAAATTCAGTAATAACAAATAATAGTTTTTCACATGTTAATAATAATTCTTCGCTATCAGTATCTATTGATGAATTATTTAAACAATATCTTTCTACAATTGATCAATCGTTGTTGAGCGATGAAATTCGTAAAAAATTTCAACGTATAGCATTACTTGACAATGAATTAGATAAATTATATCGTATGAATATTGAATTAACAAAAAATATTGAAAGACGGTCACGACGGCGTACATCAGCAAAAGATAAAGATCCTTTATTGAAAGAAAATGAGAATTTACAAAATGACCTTATCATATATATAAAAACATTAAAAACAACACTGATGAATCATTATCCAACATATATGTTTGGTAGTAATACAGTTATTGGAAGAAAGTAGTAACTGATTTTTCTTTTGTATTTACTTTGTAACTTTTCAGTGAATATATGAAAAACATATGTCTATTCAGCCAAGTATTTCTAATCAATATCGATTGTTTAACACTTGAAACAATGTTCTGAGACGAAATACAAATGTCTGTATATTTCTAAGTTCATCAATTATCAAAATACTAGAAATTTCAGCTACCTACTGCAATGAAAATCAATTGACCATGACTTTTCCCAACTGACTCTCGGCAAAAGCCTATTTTATATCATAAGAAAAAAGTTAGAGGCTGTAAATCGAGAACAATTCATCTTTAATTAGTTAAAGAATCCTACTTTTCCAATATGTACAGCTAATGCCAAACTCTGCTTTCTAGCTTTTTAATCGATAAAGAAATCGAAAAACGCAAGATTATGTTCAGCACTACAATTCAAGCAGTATTTAAAACAAAATGTAGAACAATTCCTAACAAATGAGAGCGTATATTAGAAGAACTCCTGAGATTGTGGCATACGTTATCGATGCTACAAACAAAGAACGTATATCAATTATGTATTTTAGTAATTACATACGGCAGCCGAGATCATCATAGTTAATGCTCTTTCATAATGTTTTAGTGTATTCGTGCTTGAATTGCTCAGAGATTGCGCTAACAGTCTTTTCGATTATTAATTGATGCCTAAAAAACAGAACTTCAAATAATTCTCATAGAATACAAGTTGGATAGGTGTGACAAAATCATTCTAGAATGCAGATATAAGTACGGAGCTTATCTATATTCACACGCACGCATACTGGAATTTTGATTATTTTCTGGAATTTTTCATGTTTGAATGTGCCATTTGATTATCATATGTTGCAAACCCTAATAACTATATTGTTCACTGTCGTAAACTAACAGAGACATTCGAGAAAATTCTAAAAATCATTGTTAAGAGAAAAAGTGGCTTTATTTAATGTCATCTTTAAAAACAATCAACTTGAAATCCATTTACATATTCTTCTTAAATTTATAAACAACGATACAAGTGAAATTAAAACGCCCCACGATAGATAAAAAGAAATTGGTTTCTTCCTCAAAAATTTCAGCTAAACAGAATAACAAACTAAACATGAAAAGGTAATTAGCTCCATACGAAATTGAGGGCAACTAGTCTGACGTGCTAAAAAAATGTATGGATACAGCTGCGAATGTCTATGAACAAAAGAAGAGGAAAAGCAACACACGCGTAGAGTAAGTATTAAACATAATTTGTATCGCATGCCATGTTCCTATGCATATGTTCTGATAATTTATGCAACCGGAGAGCGCACCATAAAATTGTTGATCTTTAATAATTTATCATCAACACTGGGATTTTTGCCATATCAAATAATATGAATGCATAAATCGATAAGGTAAGAAACAGCGCATACCAAAATCATCTTTTAGTATATTTTATTTCCTTCGATAAAATTTGATATGAAAACAATAGAAAGTAAAGACTTTAAGCGATATTAAATTTAAGTTCTTTATGCTTAAGGTGTTAATATTATTGGTATGCGCCGTTGTGGCGAATGGACTAGAAAATGTTTATATTTTTCTACTTTGATTATCAAGCCTTTTATAATTAATAGTCATCCTCCTTTATTTTATATCGTATGCGAGTATTCATAATTCATAGCAATAGTTCACAAGCATCGGCATCGGTTCTCTTGTCCTCTATTATATATTCGGTAACACTGCGATTTATTGTTTCCAAGTTAGTATACTATATATTTTCTTTTCAAAAATTGAAATAACCGAGAAAATTAAACAATTCATTTGTAATAAAATGTCAGAAAAAGGCTACCTATTACTACGTCCTTTTCCCTTCAGATAGATATATATATATATATAATGCAAAAATTGTTTTAATTGCTTTGCTTCCTTGAATTTTTCTGACACGCTCACTATGTGCATTAGTTCACAAAAACATTTTGTACAGTTAGGATTCAACACAACCTATAGGATTCTTCGAAGTTGCGATACGTTCATCTGAACTTACACTAGTATATGACATGCTAAGTAAATCCATGATTGTGTTTTTCTTGATGATACAAAGATTATCTTAAAAATAAATAATCTTAAACTACTCTTTAGTTTCTAATTATTATAGGAAAAAAGTAATTACTCCGACAGTATTTTCTTCTCATAGCACAGAGACACTTCTACAGATGATTACAAGACACTTGCTTAATCGAGAAGTTTGAAATGACATAGTGATCTTAGCAGTTACCAGGTTTGATAAGATATGATTTTCAAGAAATTGATATACATACAAGCGAATCGTGTTGAAATATTTTCTATAAAAGGATTTAGAATAAAATTTTTGTTAAGAAACGAGAGTTTAATAATTAGCTTGGACAAATAAGAACTCGCTGTATCGATCTATCGTATGAAAAAATACATTGAATAGAATAGTAAAAATGTAGATGAAAACGTTTAGGGCAAACTACTAGTGGAATTAATAGGTTTCTGTTTGCTATCGAAAATAGCACAGATAGATATACGTATATATTATTAATTAACTATTTTTTCTACTTTTGAATGAAAGTGAAATAGTTTTATTAATAGGAGTCCAACATCTAGTCATAGCTTTAGTTTTAACTATTCCTAATTGTGTCATTATTCATTTACGAAAATATCCTATGAATAGCCGCAGTACAGTTGAAGTAAGCATGTACAATTTAAAAAGAAAATACTAGTAGCATCTTGTTTTACGCAAAAAAATCATGAAAATTTTATGAGAAGTGTCTTTTATTTATATCTGAAAAAGATTTTTTATACCATGAAAATGCGCTTACTTTTGTATTCGGTCAATTTAAAGACAAAGGATAAAATTATTGCCCAATTAAATATTAAGCATAAAATATTTCAATAATAAAAACAAGATGATCAAGCAATCGTATGCGAGTTTTGTGAATAGAGAATGATGATGATGATCTTAATTATATGAACACTTCGTTATCAGAAATATGAGATAGTTTACACCTTCCAGTCAAACAATTTAATTCCAATAAATGGCTATACAACGGAAATACTGTGAATGGATAAGATCGAGATTTATAGCCAAGAAACGGAAAGAGACACTACCGATGTTTTGTTGTTAAATTAATTTATTAAGCCAATCTATAGAATTTTGGGTGCATTACAAGAGAAATATAGTTCATAGGAGTCAATAGATCGTTTAGTTTTAATTTCATTTTTACCTTCTGTCTAATCAGACACTAAATCAAGCGATGCCTAGAGAAATTCCTACAAAAATAAATGCTGTCAATGACGAACAGCAGAAAGTGATAATTTTATCTTGTTAGAAAAAAGCATGACTCCACTAGAAGATTTCGTCGAATCAGAAACGGATTACATCTGTTTAGAAAATAATTAAAGCGTTTAACTTTTTTCGCTTTAATCTATTCAGATATTGAATATGAATGCAAATGTTAGCATCAGTTTCAACGATCAATTGGTCATTGCTAACTTGCAATTACTACAAAAGAAATAAACATACACCGTTTTAATATTACTTTTACTTATTGGAAACATTGGATTTATTGGAAATACCATAATCCTCCATCGTCCTTGTTTAAATAGATCTTCATGTTCTCGTTATTTTCTTGCATCATCATTTGCTAATGCATTTCTATTAGATATGAGTACTTTTAGTCATATTCTTGATGTTGACTTTTCATTATGTACCTATTCTATGTAAACTTCGCAATTATTCAATTAACATAAGTGGCTTTCTATCACAATCACATCTCCTATTAGCTTGTATTGATCGCTATTTAATAAGTGCAAATGAATCTAGCTATCGTCAATTTAATACAATACCAATGGCGAATAGGATTATTATGTTCACAATTATGTTTTGGTTGACTATTCTTTCTCATAAGCTTGTATACAGTAATATTTCTTCACCTCATCAATTCTGTTTTTATTCAGGTGCATCTTATACATTTCTTATTTCTTTACATAATTTAATTCTATCAGGATCTATTTTATCAATTTTAATGGCTACATTTAGTATATTAACATTAAAAAATATTCGGCAAATTCGACGACAAACACGTTCTTGTGGGCGTCGCCATCATTGTGTAAGTCTTATGCTTATTAGCAATGTTTTTGTTAGTGTTATATTTACGTTTATTTATGTAGGCGGACTTATTTCCGTATCGTTTTTTCTTTTAACCAAAGCACAAATGTTATCAACACGACAAAAGGTTCGAAATAAATTTATATCATTTATTGTCATCATATTCTATTATACACCATATGTATATTGATTTCTGACATAGATTCTTTGTATAAAGTATCTAGTAGAAGTCGTTTTTATTTGTTGAAATAAATCAAATTTACAACAATGTTTATTCTTTTATACTAATGTTGGAAATTTTCTTATCAAGTATTTTGTTTTGCTAGAAGAATTTGTAAATGATCTAGTTTTATTTAAGAAATATTTCTATTATTATTTTTCATTTATATTCCTCAGAATAAACTGTAGGACAGGTTATGTAGAACTCATTCGTTCACATCATACGAATACGATATGTGCTGAGTGAAAAATCTCTAGCAGACTGTGTCTTATTAATTCCGGCTTTAGGAAAAGGATTTTCTTTTCTTTTCCAGCCAGCAATGGACTGTTTGAGACGCATTCGAAGAATGATTCAGATTATTTAAAAAAATAAAACCGACTTCATCGAGATCAAAACTTATATACAATTGTGAATTCATACATATGCTGCAAAAAGAAGATTTTGCATGAGCATCTACTCTCTAGTTCAAAACACCATTTCTAATTATATTTGATATTAAGTACTTTCTATCGTTAACTAACTTTATTCTTTCATTTTCAATACAAAGTTTGAAAAATCCTCTTTATTAGCTGGATTGTATGAGAACAAAATTATATTGACTAATTAATTGCTTATGAATTGTTGTGTATTCTATACGAACAGGTTCATATTTCTTTACAAGCTACTTATTACTTTGTATAAATTCATTTCAATGGTTCAGTGACGAATTATCCTTGTTTCATATACACAGAAATGAATATTAAAAAAACAACAAGTCTATATAACAATAATATTCATTTCTCAATGTCATAATCAATCATCGCATCATTCTTCTTGATATCTGCAAGATCTGGATTATCATTAGTCGCCATGGGCATCTAGAGTATTTATGCAATAGTGTGGTATTTCTTCTTCATCTTGTATTTCATTCTTTGATAATTCGTAAGTAACTGTTTCAACAGCTTCATCACTACAGACATTTTCAAGTGGCTTTTCATCTTCTTCATCACGAATTAAGTCAATATGATTTGCATAAGCACCACTGCCTCCAATGCCAGCAAATCCAGGAACAGCAGCCTAAACCATAGAAGAATAAATTAGAAATCTTCTTTAAAGATAATTGTATTAAAATTTACCGATGAAGAATAGCCCCAACCATCGCCTGTACCCCATTCATTACTGCCATAATCATAACCAGCTTTTTCTAATGGATTCTTTTTTGAACTCATCGCATGGCCTTGTAGATGAGTTGCAACGAGACCTGCTGATAGTGGCAGTGCTATTGCTTCTGTTTTAATTATTATTGCTTCTGTATTATCATTTTCAGCTAAACAATCAATGAAACTCGTAAAAGGAACTTTTCTGCCATTGAAAAGAAACTTACATGAATTTTCTTCTGATGTTGTTTGAACATCTTCATCAATGTATGGCGCAGAATGATTGCTTATTTTTTCAGTATGTAATGAACGTGATGGTAACTGAACAGCATCATTCATTCATTACGATAATAGCGTGAAAACGAAACAAAACAAAATCAACAAATCTACTTACAGTTTCAACAATCGCTTTCATCCATGAACTGTAAAATACAATATTGTTATTTTCATGAAAATCTCTCTAATGTTTATTATTTAAAGCGGAAACAAAAAAAATGCTTACTTTAAATCGTCTAGGTCATCGCATAAAAGCCATACAATATCCCGATCACGATCTTTTATAGACATTGGAAAAGCAATAAGTGCTACTTCATCATAAATATTATCAAGATGAGGATAATCAGGTAAAAATCTAGAAATTATTTTATTTTAATGTTCTTGACTATGATGAAATATTTTCTCAATTACCTGGTATAGGGCCCAACACAAATATGTCGTTCAACATCCTTAGGGGAAAAATAATTATTTTGAAATTCTATTTTGTCAAAAACAAAAAAAAGTTACTTTGAGTAAAACCATTCCATCCGGTTTTTTATGTTTAACATCCGAAAACCATGTAAGTAAACTTGAATCATAAAGTACAAATTTGTATTCCTTCCATTTTTTACTCAACAGACCTCCTATACAATTGAGAAAGCAAGATCAATTTTAGAAAAAAATTCAAGTTTAACTATTTGCTTACGATGATAATACTTGAGCATGCCTCGTTTTATTTCACTCATGATTGTTTTAATATATTATTTTCTTTTGAACCTAATTAATGAGTCGCAGTAGAAAGGTCATTTTTCTTCGCTATTCTCTTTTGGGTCAAACCAATAAGAAAATGCCTAGACACTGATTGATTGATTTGACGTGGACAGTTCATGTTCAAGGGGGCGCTGCTTTTCAGCATCATTGAATGAAATAATCTAATTATAATGTATCTGTGGTCATATAATACTGAAACTATTTAGCTTATTACCTCATTCGGTACTTTTCACTTTCTCAAGATGCAAAGTAGTTTATAGCACCGCGTCGTGAATTTTCTTTATTTCTTCATAGACATGCTCAAGTGAAGTTGAGCTTTTTGTGTAGCGGTGATCTCGAGAGCGGAAAATAGTGGTTTAAGCGGGAGGTAAAAGTATCGAGACTGAATTGCTAAAGCCAGTTTTCGGATTTTCCACATTTATCTCTGTTTCTTGACATTCTCATTGTATCCGAATATTTTCCAAGTAAAAAAGGTTCAGCTGCTAGCAGAGGTATTCACAGGACAGAGTACGATTTTTACACACTGCAAAATAGCGCGTCAAACTTTTCTAAGTTTTCAACCTGAGGATAGCGTTTTTTTGTCTCTTCTATTACTTTGATCAGAGCAAACAAGTAATAGAACATTTAACTTCAAATGACCCACGATCGATTCTATAGATTTCAGTCATCGCAAGATTAGAACGAGAGTTTTTCAATGCTGCTTGAATCTTACATGACAGAAGAATAAGTTGTGTTCTTCTCAAATGAACCTCTCTAGCAAAAATAATCTATCTGTATTATATTTATTGTATGATTTAATTTTCTTGTTATATGTTGCAGCATTTTAGAAGTAAAACAATGCTCTACATGATTTAATAAGAAAACATTTTTGCTCTTGAAATACGTTCTAAATTATGCTCAAGACGATGCTTATTGTATATTTCTAAAGAATATGATGAAATATTCCAGATGAGTGCAAAACATGTCTCTCTCTCTCTCTCTCCTAAGGAACTGAAACGTTGTCTCTGTATAGAAATCAAACATATAGTTTATGTTCACATGTAGAGAATACTTTACTCAAATATTCAAGAGAAACAACAGAAAATAAGTCGAAGATATTTATGTATAACAGTGGTAGATATAAACTACTGTTTCATACAGAAAACTAATATGAAAACTTTTTATTTAAAAAAACGCATAATCAGCCCCGCACGATATTGTTTCGATAATTTTTCCTATTCAGCAGGTTTAGTGCTTTTCTCCGGCAGCTCTTTCGTCTCGTTCGTTATTTCTTTGAAAATTAATTCGAATGGAGCAACACTTCTTGATTTTGACTGTTTCTTCTCTTTATGAATACGTTCTACTCGAATAGTTGCCGTCGATAATGTTTCAAATTTAGAAGTATGATTTATTGATGGTATTTCAATTGTTTCAATTTGTGATGGATGATATGCCAATGCAGATCTACGATGGCTTGATCGAATGCGTGTAACATGTATCTTATCTTTATTCTGTTTTAATGAACCAATAGTCGGTTGAGTTTCATCATTTTCATCTAGTCGAATAGTATTGTCAATAATCGATGGACTACAATTTTGAGTTGAAGATAGACATATTGGTAATAATGGTGAAGGCATGCAAGTAACTCGAATCCCGTTCTTTGGATCTGCATTAGATTTTGCATCGTTTGTTGGTTTTAATGCATTATTCAACATAGCTGATGTTTGCAATTTCGATGATTTTAATCGAGACATTCGTACAGTTCCACTGTTGGGCTCTTTCTGCACAGATGAGTCCATGTTAAGTTCAGATACTTTATACCGAGATTTTATACTACGATTAAATGCACTTTCTATTTTATTTACATTTTAAACTTTTGTTACAGATATATGATCTAAATCAGCTGATTTTGTTCGAATATCATTACTATCCTTTGATAGAAAATTAAATATAACCTATCCATTTTCATCGACGCTTGAAGATGGGTATTAGGTTCTATAGACGTCGATAATCCTAAAAGGTACATTGTAGAATTAATTGAATGCTCATTAAATATATCATGAACAAGATCATTATCGGCATTTGCTGGCAATGTGATGTTTGGCGAATCTGTAACGAACGGCCATTGGCATTCTCGATTAATACATCGCTCAATACGATATAATTCAAATGGACCATTTTCTTTGAATATTCCCAAGCTGCACGGTAAACTTAAAAAATAAATCATGCAAAAACAAACATAGAATAGTATTATTTAAGCATCCAATCAATAGCGAAAACACAGTCAACAACATAATACACTCGCACCTAACACGAATACACCAATAATACTTCCAATTAATAGTCACATAACAGGATCGACTATTGAGAAAAAAGAAATTTTTTAGTTTTGCAAATGAATGAAACTATTAGATACCTGCTTTTTTTTGCTGTAGTCATTGTAGTGGTCGTTGTTATAACAATCAAATATATAGTAAATAAATTCATTTTTCTAGCTAAAGAAGCAAATTCTTACGCAGCACTTCTAGTCGATGTCGTCGATTTATAATACGCATAAGATGATGTTTAAACAAAAATAATCATTGGACTCGGTAACTTACGTAGAAATCGTTGAGCTATAAATAATCGATCAATCTAGATTATTTGTGTTGTCGCGACATCAAAACTTACGTCGATGTTGTTGTCCTGAATAACCTTATATTTTTGTTTTTATACCAAAAAAAAGAAAGAACTACTGACGTAATTAGTCGTAGCAGTACTAGTGGTTGAACTGAAATTAAAAAGTAGACTCTCATTTATTTAGTCGCGTAAGTTCATAATAGTTACGTCGATGTTGTTGAAGTTGAAGTTGTTTCAGTACTTGAAAAAATACAAGAGCTTCTAATAAAATAAATGATAATAAAGTTTTAGTTTACGTCGTTGTTATTCTAGAAAATCGAGAAAAAACATATATTAAAACAGCTGTTGATGAGAGTGTAATGTTCTCACGAAGTTGTAGTCGCCGTGGCGCTAGTCGTTGAACTGACATTAAAAAATATAGTCTCATTTAATTGGTACCTTAAGTCCAGAATAGTTACGTGGTTGTTGTTGATGTTGTTGCGCTATCATAAAAAAATATAATGATCCCATTTTCTTTCTTTCAGTGTTAATATTCTTACGTAGTTGTTGTGGAAGTTGATGTTGATGTTGATGTAGTTCTGAAATAAACAAGAACCGCTTATTAAGCATTGCAAAATGAAAAAAACATTTTACATCGTTGTTGTTGTTGACGTTGTTGTCGTCCTATTTTTGAAAAATAAATGATATAGTACAAATAAAACTCACATTTCAATTTATACGTCGTTGTTGATGTGACAGTAGGATAACCAGGGCAATTGCCCCCACTATTTTGTGATACAAAAAGTGCAAAACAATATTGTGAAGATTACGAACTTTCACTAAGAATAATAGTCTCCTTATTCTGGCTTCTATCTTTTAAGCTATATTCAATTACCTGTCGACAGCCATGGCACACGTGACTTGATATCCAAGCTGATTGATTGTTGGTGTCCATGATATAGTTGCATAATAAACTGTTGAATTATATTGAATAAGATTACCTCGAATCATACCAGGAAATGGCAATGTGACAATATCACTAATATTAACATTAGCACCACAATAATTAATGGCTATAATTTGTGACGTATACGTTTGACCAACAATAATAGGTGTGCAAGGTGCCTCAGAAAGTTCATACACTTCTGGGAGTATTGTACATGGTGGTGGAGCGACAATTTCAACAAGAAATTGAATAGGGACGGAACTAAGTGGTGTTGTACTTGAAGAGTTAATGAAGTCTTCAACCTATTTAAAAAGAAAATAAAACTACACTACTATGCAGAGTTCAAATAGAGACCACGACAGTAACAGCAAACAAATCGCCGATTACAGTACCAGTAATAATAATTGTACAGTTTGGAAAGATTATTGTATCATTCGGTAGAGATCCTGGTGGACACACCTGACCACATTCAGTCGTACTGCTCGCCCATCGACAACGCATTGGATCACCATCAGCATCACTTATTGGTATATTAATAGCTTTTGGTTGACTCTGAGGAATATATATATGTATATAGGAGAGATGACAGTGGCTACAGGAGCATTATTATAAAGACCGTTATCAGATCTTGGTGTTAAGATAATGTGGGATGCTAGAGACCAGTCTGCTGATCCAGCAGTAGCTAATGGGCGCCATGCAGTACTTGAGAATGCCACAGTGAAATCCTCACCTGTGTTAATATAGACGATATCGGACCGTTGACCAACAGTAGTGCTTTCTACTGTAGAAAAGTCAGTGCAATAGGACCAGATGTTTGGAGCAACAAATCCAATAGCTGTGCCACAATTAAGAACACAATTTAATGTATTACTGATACCAGCGTAATTTGTGATGAAAGGAACGGGATGACTGTTAGCCATATCAGTGTTTGAGCATGGGTCCGCTGTCCATGTCCACGAATAGGTTTGTGTAATAACAATCGCAACAGGTGATCCAGTAGCTGAAGAATTAAGGGGATGCCAAATTATGGTGCCACCAAGAAAATGTGACCCATTAACAAAAGTAAAAATTATGGCAAAAAATTCAATGAGAAGAAAATTGCAAAGCATACCAATGAAAGTAAACTGAAGAGCAAATAATGGCTAAGATCTGAAGTTTATATTGCAATTAGATGCAGAAAGAAAAATTTTGTTTTTGTTGCGAGTAAAAAGATTATTACTTATATCCTTCATCTGAAACTTATTACTTTTTACAGTCTTGAGAGACGATTGTTGATTCACGGAAGAGAATAAAAATGATTTTATCAATAGGTTGGAAGAATTTGTGTATATACTAATTCATTAGATATTCATAATTTATTTTATTTTCTGCACTGTATTAGAAAAAATAGATCTTCAACGTGGTACTTCAGACATTTATTTTGTAATATATATATTTATTATTATTATGCTTAGTTCAAACTAATCTCGAGTTAGAAATGATATGTCATATTCTTCAATTTAGATGCATTCACTGTGCTTCTCTTCGTTGACGGCTTCAATATCAAACAAGTTGGAACTTCATCTGTTGAATTTTATATGAGCTAGAAAATAAACATGAAAAATATTTTGAATAGCAATAATCGAAATAGAAAAACATTTGATACTAATATGGTTGCCCGAAGAAACGTAAAAATGTTTGCTATGGGATTTAATTATTCAGAATATTTCATGTATAGGGTCCAAGTGTTTTTCGTCGTCATTTCAATTAATAATTGAAGGTGAATATATGAGATAGTCTTAAAAAGTATTATCAATAATATTGATACATGTCGGCACTATTCATATGATTCTATTTGTCTTATTCTATTATTATATTGATATGTAATCAACGCAACGGCAGTATTTCGGTTAGAATTCAACGAAGGACTCTAATCAAGTAATAAAAAAAAACATGTTGAAGACAAAGTTTATTCATAACTTCGGGTTCCGTAAATTAACAATAGTTTAATAGGATACTAGTTATAGTAGCAGCGTCGTCATCATACTTCTGTTTTATCAGAATTCTTTTACTGGACAGCACAATATTTTTATTTCAAAGTGTACCCGTGAAATTGCTACTTGAATGACCGTTCTGTCAAAAGTTGAAATATATGTAAACAACATATTACTGAATAAAGACGGGTCTTAGTATCAATCAAAATACTCTAAAATATTCAATGCAGTAAATTTTCAAACCAAAATTATTCGAATCGAGTGTTTTTAGTAGACTAAATTCTTGCAGAAGCATGTCGAGAAAAAGTCAATGCGTATAACAGGTAGCATCCTTTATATATAGATGCAGAAAGCATTCTATCGCGTGAAGATTTTTCGTCAACACGTAATATAAATCACTTTTATTAAAATATCTTTGCACGTTAGATGTATGTGATCGAAAGTATGCCGTACCTTCACTCTTCCAGGGATACTGAAAAACTAAAAATCTCAAAAAAACGTACTTTACTAATAGACTAAAGCAAACTGTATTGAGTCTTCAAAACTCCATTTTTCTATATTACAAGTGGCTTATTCCATTCGAGCCCGAATAGTTTATTATAAAACTTTTATAAAACTTCCTCTTATTAAAAAATATTCTTTTCGTTTACGTTTACTTTGACCTACTCGTATCTAGACAACAGAAAAAAAAACTTCCGATAAAATTGACTCTTTCTTCCTAACTAATGAAATGAAATTGTTTATTTTTATAATCAAAAACACCAATCTATCTAGTAACAAATTATCAGAATCCAACTGTACTGATATATCTATTTAATAATAAGCCCAAAAAGAATCTGTCTACTCTTTCAATTTTTCTATTAGCTTTTTTGCTTCACGTTGCCCACTTTCGAAAGCACTGTCTACACAACCAATCGATCCATCATGATTTGTATGTTCGCCTGCCCAATGTATTCGATTGTGACACTCTCGAGCAAGATCAAGTAACGTTTGCTTGTCTGAACCTACGCCAAAATTTGAGTAAGCACCTCTTGCAAATGGATCTTGAGCCCATCTTGTCATAAGGAATCGAGTCGGCTCAGGAACTTCTTGATCGGAAAAAATAGTTCTCAAAAGTTTCATGAATTCATCGATTGTTTGTTTATCATCTTTCTGTTCGATATCATATGCAATTCGAGCTGCAATTTTAATCTGAAGTATACAATCATTGGGTCGACATAGAATAAAGCGGAATTGAGGAGATGTACAATAGATTGAAGGCAGTGTTGGGTCCCAAAAAACATATGGAAATTCTACGAAAATTTTATCTGCTAAACCCATACCCATAACATCTATTGCTTTCTGTTTCCAATCAGGCAGATCTGGTATAAACTCAATGGAACGAGCTTTTAAACATCCGAGAGGAATAGTAATAAGAACATATTTGCATTGCAATGTTCGTCCGTCTCGTGTAGATAGTCGAACGATAGAATCTGAAGATGATGCATCGATACGAGTAACAATACACTTAAGTTGAACAGGTAATTGATAATGTAGAACCAGTTGCTCCAAAAATGTACCGAAACCATTGGGTAGAGCTAAATTATATTCGATCATGCCATTATCGGAATTAAAAAATGATTTTGCTGATAGTTCATCGATATTTGATCCTTCATATTGCTCAATATTACCAAAGAACAAATCAAGTAACCGTTTTATTTGGGGATTATTCTCATAACTATTATATTCAGTTTTAATAACGTCAAGCATTGATTTATCTATTATGGGTGATGATTCTTTAATAGTACGATATAAATTGTTAAAAATCTTTTCAGCGTCAGAAACTTTGTCGGAGCCTATTTTTGTACCATCAATATCACAAAATTGTGTTCCTGATGAACGAGAGGAAAAATAATTTTTTGTATGAATATCTGTACATAATTCATTGTATTTATGTAAAGGATGTTCAGAACGATAATGATGTATCCATTGTGCACCTAAATCGACAGGTTTGTCTGTACCAAATGTTGTTCTATCAGTAGAAACACGGCCTCCAACACGATCACGAGCTTCGACAATGGTAAATTTAAGTTGCGGAACTGTCTGTAAATCAATAGCTGCTGCTATGCCAGCAGAACCACATCCAACAATGATCACATCGAAAATTTCATCAGTTGCCGTCATCGTGTAGAAAGTATAAAGAGTGACTCAATAATAAAACTGAGTGTATACGTTAGAAATCTAAGTGAAAAATTGGATAAAAGTCAGGTTAGTTCACACGAGAAATACGAAACAACACATATATTTAGTTAAAGATAAGGTGTTCCAAATAGAATATATGTTGTCTGATGGCTTCCTTTGTAGAACCTTGATTCTGTGCTGAAAGTAACATGATATTCGTGCCGAGTTGCAGTTATTTGCGTAGCACGAAACTACATATATTGTAGCTGACAGCCACATGAAATATTGAGACCATGGCCAATCAACTTTCTCGAAAGCAGAAGTTTCCTTATATTACAGCGACACCTGGCACGATGGTTTAATCGATGAGGTTTTTCGGCAACTTTTTTCCTCTGTTAATGAGGACAGCATAAAAGAAAATATTCTCTAACCATTATAATTTAGACGAAATGCATAAAGGACTGGATGAATCATTCCAAGCAAGAAGAGAGGAATCCGCTTGTGTTATGAATCAGACTTGAACTGAAAACGTTGGTAATTTCCAATTTCTTTCAGTATAGCTATCTGAACATGCTGTAATAAATAATCAGTGAATATCTCTCGAAACATACATAAAAAAAAGTCTAAAAATTATAGAGTCGATCATACAAGATTGAATGTATCTATTCAGAATTTTTCTAGTTCGATTTAAATTCAAAAATGTTCTTATCAAATCTAGTTCTCTACAGGCCTTGTGAACGTCAAAACAAATAATCTTCTCTTATGATCGCGTAACGGAACATGAAGGTTATAGAAGTACGCGTTGCTTTTTTCACTGTAATCCAAAAAAAAGAGTTATTTTATGAGTATTATTGTTTACGGGTTGTAATTCATGCATGAATACGATCATTGTCTGCTATAGTATATCAAAATTAATTTTAATTTGTCTCTATGAATGAAAACACTGCTAGCTACCGCTCAGTGTCAAATCAAACGTCTGATCAGAATAAAAAAATTAAATAATACTTTCGTATCAATTGAGTAGAAATCTAAAAGATGTGCTTGACTGATTTACATCTGAAAGGCAATCAAAGTTTCACAATGTGGTTTTTATATTAATATCATATTTTATTATTTCTATCAAAACAGTAAAAGTCAAAAGTCAATGCATACTACGTATGTACATACTTATCTATATCTCCAATAGGTATTTGAGAGCGATACATTCCTTAATTCGACTAGTATTCCGGAGATATTAAATTCTTGGATTGTTGTCATTGATTTTCACCAAAAAAAAAAAAATACTTTATACCAAGGAAATATTAGCCACCATTTTTGTTTGGTCACGTTTTCCTATTTTTATGACCTTTCTCATACTACACACAAACATAGGGCACAACTCCATATGAGTGTGAGAGGAAAAAAAATATTCGAAGCAAGAGTTCATTGAGGACGATTTTCAATCGCTTTCTAGTTTGACAGAACGAAAGAGAGACTGAAAAAGATATATAATGTATGCCTCAGACGTTCTTCGCTTTCATTTCATATTCATACGTGAACAAGAAACATTACATTGTGTACTTATTGACTGCTAAGAAAATTATCATGTCTGGCCAATCAACAAACCAAGGGCATTGGGAAACACATTCCTATGCATCGACAGCAAGTAAAATCGGTGATAATCCACTAATCATTTCTGGAAAAGAAACATTGGCTGAAGGTACTTTTGATGCAAGTGAATTTTATATAACCTACATGAACTCTATACAGTAGATTTCTCATTTATTTAGCATGGCAAGCCAGTAGTGATTGATTCTCATGACACTTCATTCACAAACAAAGGCCATCCAAACACAATTGAATACAAAGATAACAGCGGCAATCAACAACGAACTATCAAATAATCTGATAGAGCCAAAGTGGAACAAATAAGAAGAACTATTTTAAAAGGAAATCCATCCCTCAATGTGCACATCACATTCTACTTGTTGTTTTTATGTTCATAGATATTCTGCTTTTCATTGACAATAAAATCATCGTACAATTAGATTAATTTTTGAAGGAATAATTTTTAATCTAAATAAAATACATACTCTAAGAGAACTTTTCCATTGATTTTGTTGTTCATTGGAAAGTATGATCGTCCATCAAAAAATATTTAGCTTCGATTAAAGGTTGCATTTTAACGTAACTTATTCTTGAATAAATCGTATCGTTGATTGACTAAATACTATGGAACATAATCGGAATATAAATATTGAAACTAGGATGCTATGAAGAAAAGAAATGAAAATTCCAGCTTAAATGGCTGGTTTTACTTGTACAATTTAACTATCTTGCTGTCTATTATGTTTCGAAGGTGAAATACTTTTTTATTTGAACAGTAAGCCCAGAAAGTGACTTTTGGGTATATTTGTTACTTAATTTAAGTCTTGCGAGCAAATGTCACTGAGGAGCAACTGCAGTGGAAGAATCTGCCAGTGACGTATCATCCGTAGAGTCTATCAAATAATTCATTATATTTATTTTATTCTCAATGTGAAAGCAGAAAGATTGTAAACAAATTTCTATTTTGATATTTTCTTTTAAAGGTAATAATACCTAGAACAAACTGAAAAGTCATGAAATTAATTGGAACGAATTAATTTAATAGAATGCTATTTTTGAATACAATGAGTTATCATCGAACTCACTACAAACTGTCTTCAGTGAACGGCCATCTCTGTAAGATAGACATAGTAGAACGGAATGGAGGTTCGTTATGAAATTTTAACATGAATTTGTTATGTTTTATACTTGCACGTTTCCATAGATAGATTGAGACTTTCGGAAAATATCAAAATTATACTCAAACAAAACGTGCTCTATTAAATAAATCTCTTTGTAAACACATTTTCATAAAAATCTAGAACATCAACTTTGTAAACTTTCAACGCAAAGATATAAATAAGTATTGGATAGGTCCATCTCATGTTAAAGAATTTGTTTTGTCTACATTTTATGTTTTAGCAAATATTATTAACAATCGTCTAGTATCATTCCTGTACAATATCATTGATTTATTTGATAATGAAAACACACTATTAATTTTTATTTTAGTTAAATTGTTTTCAAGGAGAAAATATATCATGTGCTTGTTCAATAATAATTTCAAGTAAACGTTGAATAGATTTAGAATTTTTTAATCCAATCATTGGATCTGGATTTTCTGAACGCATTATTGTTGGTGCAAATACAATTGACAAGTTTTCAACCGTCATTTGATTACGATTCGAATGAAGAGATACAGTAAGTAAATGTTCAGATAAATATTTTAATGTATGAAAATGAGCTGGTGGTAAACGACGTATGATTGGACGAACTGTTTTTATACTTAATGCTGTTGGACGAAGTTCAAGCAGTTGTGTATGAATATCAAAAGTAATCAATGGAATAGGCAATTGTCTTAAATATAATTTTAGAACACAAGTTATTGCGTGAATATCAGGATATCGTTCTTGAGATAAATCCACATGCTCACAATCACGTTCAAATGCTAATTTGATTTCTTCAACAATATCAGAAAATCCAGCAATTCGATAGAGACCTTCTGTATCAAGTGCATTCGGTCGTGATTCAATTTCATTAATACATTTCTCAAGTACAACCGGTGTTAATGAAACAGCCGACGAGGCTGGCGTTGTTGCTTTTATTAAAGTTGTTAAATCAACACCAAATATTGATTTTAAATATTTCATTTGTGGAACCTAAATAGATGAAAAAGACAATTCTATGTGAGACGGTTTAAGTTAAACAAAACAAAAGAAGGCTTCACGATAATGGAATTCTTTCATTAAGTATCATCAACTACTTTTGATAGATCAGAAGACTGTTTGAAAAAACGAACTGATGATTCTGGTCACTGCTTCAATGGAGACTATGTAATTTGTATGATAGTAAAAAGTTCAAAGATATATTAGTCTTCCATTTTTTTTTACCAGCACTATAAAATGTATTTTATACCAATTAATCCAAATGCTTATGTTGTATTATATTCGAGAATTTATTTAAAGTTATCCTGAGACACACATATACGCTACATCAGAATGTTCTAAGCAGATAGATGATCGTTCAATGTCGAGAAATTTTTCTCTGGTCGAATCCAAGCGTTTTAGTCAATATTTCACAAAATCCAGCTTATGTTTGCAAGAATTTTCTTCTCGATTTCGTTAATTTCACTGCTCTTTTAGTAGTGAGTACCATGGTTCACGTCAGCAGATTATTATCAACACGAAATATTAACTTAAAACTATGACTAAAGTACTTTTATATTCCATCTGCTTCTGTGAGGATAAGTCTAAATGATTACCCTACTAACAGCTGTGTTACCGATAACGCTGATTTAGAATATAATTAAAAGAAAATTGTCTAGATCTTTCTAGATTAATTTTTTCAGAAGATGAGTCTTTCGAAGTAAGAATACTTTTTTTTCTAAAATCATCTTTGATCTATACAGATTATGAAATTTACTATAATATTATCTGTTTTTCAAACGTCAATAATAGAGTAGCTTTGAACGAGAAAAAATATCTTCTTTCGAGAAATTAATTTCTTACACAGTCTTGTGGAACTTTTTCTGAGCAACGCTTATGTGCTTCAAAACCGCAGTCAGCACATTTAACACCTTGTTGTACTAGACCCCAAAGAAAATTTGCACAATAATCACACCAATGTGGCCCTTTAAATGAATGTATTTTAAAATTATGCCCCTTTTCTGCTTGCATTATAAGAATACGATCGAAAAATAATGGATTTGATGATGGTAATTTTTGATTAGGATTTGTTGTTGTCGTCGTCGTTGAATTATTTACTGATGATGAACGCTGTTGCACTGAGGATGAATTATGAGTTGATGATGGCAAAAGATAATCATGCGTTATTTGATCAATTTGTGGTTGAGATTGCGTTTTCGAACGATCAGTTGATATATCCTTGAAAAAGAAAAAATAAAAGAAACAAATATCTTCTGAACATCAATACCTTATTTTCATTTTGATTCAAATTATTATTCTGTGTTTGTGCACGATGTAATAATTGTGCTTTGTATTGTCCGTATGGACTTTCGTTTGTATAACATTGTGAATCACATGCCATCAGAGCAATATAATCACTAGCTTTTGATTCCAAATAAAATGATATTAAGCCATCGTGTACGAGATCATTTAATGTATCAAAATGTTTTTCGCCTACGTAATGTGTTGATGTTTGGCCATCGAAAAATAACTTATAGTTCTTTACTTCATTATTAAATTTTATTACTAATGTATACGAATTTGGAGGATTCAATGATTCTCGTACAAGATATGAACCATCAGTAGCTGTTGATAATACTTGATCAGCTTCTTGACGTGATAAAAGGCCATAAAATTCTAAGCCATATTGTTTAGGACGACGTGGTTGAGAAGTTCGACATATAATTGGATTTGGTTTTGGAGCTTGCATTTGTAAATTATATAAATAAGATTTCCATACAGGTAATGATGATGTCGAAGCAGGAGAATACGGCTGACGACAAGGTATTGAATTCATATGACTTAATGAAGATGTAGTCGATATGATTGATTGATCCATAAATGGTATTGACATCATTTTTGTTTTATTAAGAAATAATAAAAAAATGAGTATCTATCTAAAAATGATATCAAGATCAAAAGGACTATATTTTTTGAATAATAATAATCCTGTTATATCGAACGAACGGCATGAGAAAAAATAAATCAATAAAGAGAATAACACGAAATCAAACAAATGTGTGGGCGGATGGTCAATGAACGAACGGACAATCAAATGACAGAGAACAAAAACGACTACTGGCGTCCTCTCATTCTATGAATGGTTATTATTTCAATTCGGTTCAGTTAATATGTTTTCATGAGTAGGATAAATGAATGTTGTTTTAATTCATATTTCGAATGTAAAAATAATATTTATAGTAATATATCTAGCTGAAAGTTTGTCTTTTTAAAGCTTTAAAATGAATTCTACACGTTATTGATATTGTCAGTTTTCTATTCTGTACGATAAAAATTGATTCTTATATTTGTATAAGACAAACAATGAACAATCTTAACGTACCCCTATAAATCCGAAATGCATGTACATCTTTCTATAGTATCGAATCGTAATTTATTTTTTTGTATGTGCATCTTGATTGTTTTCATTTCATGTCTCTTTCATACATTTCATCTTTAGGTCAAACAAATACTATTGATTGTTCCTTCCTCTGATAAATAATGATTTCCTATTTAAATTCATGTTCTATGCATGTAGAAAATTATAACTTTGACACTATGTAAAGTTTATAATGTAGAATTCTATCAGAAGTAATCCATTAAATCATTGATCATCCTCATTTACATACATTAACTTCATTAGTGTTAATGTGTAGCTATTTAGCATGAGTTACATATAATCTTCTATTAAAACTTCGTAATTGTATTATTAAATGTCTATATATAAATATATCAGCTTACTGGTAGATGTGTCGTGTTAAAAAGTATGTCAAAGAGTCCAACAATATTATAGATAGTCAATGCAATCATAATTACGTTCTACTATCCGACATTTTTATTATTCAATTGAATGACTCTATGATTAGCCTAGTATACGAGTAACATTAAATGTAATAATATTTTGATCAATAAAAAACGTAGCTATCCATGTAGTTACTAGATTATTCTAAAAGATTTCAACTGAAAATGAATGTATATATATATATATATTGTATTTGACTTTTATTTCTATTTATTTAGAAGTCTATCTATTTTGTGCATACATATAATCGAGATTATTTTCACGTTGTTTATTGTTTAGCTAGAAATTTGTGTAAAAAACAAAATATTTCAATCTCATGTTTTTCGTTTATAAAAAAAACTTACACATTGTATTTGAGGTAAATTTTGACAGATCTTTGAGATTTTTATCTTCAACTTTTTTATCTTCAACAGCCCATTGTTGGCGTTGCTAAAACATATATTTGAGATAAGAGAAATTATATTCAATCGAACATACTTTTGTGAAGGCTTCATTCCGATCTTCACCTATACTTGCTGATAAATGTTGTTTAGCTGCTGTTTCAATACGTGCTAATTCACTATGAAAATAGCCAAGAGTATATTTAACATGAAATCAAACATGAAGGTTTCTTACGCTTTTCGTTCCTTTTCAATATAGGCTTGTTTATCTTTAAGTGCTTGTTCTTTCAACTTATCAGCTTGTGTTTCAATTTTCGTACCAAAACTTTTTGCTGTTTCTTCGAATATTTTCATACGTTGAAGATTTTCTTCAACTTGAGCTTGACTGCGTCGTTTAATATCGTCGTCTCGACGTTGCTCACGTTGAACTCGTTCGTTTTCACGTTTTTCTATGAGTTAGTAAAAAGTAAAAACAAAACATTTTTGTATTCTTCAATTTTCCAACATGAAAAATGGTTGTATACCACTATTTGTTTTTTTCACTTCTAATAAACGTGTACGAATAATTTTACGTTCATCAGGATCTTTTGCTGCAGATAACTGTACGAGGACAAAAAGAAAATTGTTATTTAAAATAAAAACACCTCGAACAAAAATTAGAACCATTTTTTGCAGCTCGGCTTCATCTTCAATCGAATTAACTGATACCATTTTCTTTTCGTCAAAATCTACTAGCGATAATGCGTTTGGTTATTTGTCTATTTATATAGGAGAATTTGTTACTCGTCAGAAAATAGAAGAATTATTACTAGTTCGACTAGAGAATGTGCAGTCTGATTATTTGGTAAGATAGTGGAAAGACGCACTAAATAGAAAAGAAAAAGAAACTTTCCTTGGAATAACCACAGGAGAAAAAGAACGACTGCGTAACTTAATGTATAAGAATATTATGGAAAAGACAAGAAAAGAACAGTGCAAAAGAATCTAGATATGTGTAATTCAATGGACCGATTGATACATACCCATTGATATTACCAAAAGTGCCGAACATTTTCCATGCGTCATTCTTGTTGCTGTAACTACCAATGAAAGAATCATAACGACAAAATGATACATTCTAAATGGATGATGATTATCTTAGTTTTCTTTATAAACAGCAATATGAAAATGATTTTGAGAAAAAAAAACATGTGTATTGAATATTAAATTGAGAAAATCTCAAATCTGAAAAACTTATAATTACTCTTTTTGCTGTTGAAATCGTTTCTTTCAAGATGAAGTAGGGCGTAGTATGGCCGAAAACACACTAGACAAATTAAAACTGAATTAACCACTAATTTGTCTTCAAAAGATGATTTAAATCTGAATTAACCAATCACGATGCTTAATTCAGTCTTAATTTGTCTAGTGTGCTTTCGGCCTATTTTATTTAAATTGATCAAAAAATAAAAAGAGAACGGCACACTACGGCATCATACATTAGCAAAGATTTCATGTTTACATCTGGTGAGTCGATTCATTGAATGTCAAAACTATGCTTGCTGGCTAGTCTGAAGAAAATAACAAACATAGCAGGTTTCACATATAGGCTAAGTTTGTTTTGTGTTGTTTAATTTTACTATCATGGAATTTCAATAGAAAAAACCTTTCCAGTTGATTTTCAATTTTCATTTGTATGAAATTCTATTTCATCAATTTAACAGAAAACAAAATGTTTCTTTCTTCTATTATAATAATGAAAGGAATTATGTCATATGACTTGATCGTATGAGTCAAATCAAAATTCTCTCTTTCACGCTACTTTACTGCAAATACTGCCGAAAGTGTTTACAGTTAATGTCACACGTGAATACTTCAAAATACCAGAACCTTTTGTTTCATTATAGTTAGAACGAAATCAACGTATTAAAAATGTACTCGAAACCAATTTTGTAATAATCAACATATGGTATCCAGTACGTCGATATTTACAATAGTAATATCTTCGCATTTTTTTTATAAAATTGCGTATGAATATGTATAATTGTAAGCCTACGACAGTGGCGGATCTACCCGTTAGGCTATCCAGCGATCGCCACCCCCCTTAAGAAATTTTTTTTCGATTTTCCTCAGCAGAAATGCAACAGAAAATAGTCGTTCTGCCTCAACTAGACTTGAAAAACTGTTTTTTGGCCAGGAGCGCCACTCCCTAACAGATTTTCTGGATCCGCCACTGGCCTACGAAATAGGCTATGAATACTTTGAATTTTCGATTATCTTGAAATGACGCGCATGCTATGGAATTATTCACATTCTATATCTATTCATAAGAAGAAATATTGAGAATGAGTTTTTGTTGCTAAGAGGACACTTCATATGTATGAATTCTTATTGCTTCACTTTACCAATCGAAGAAAAATATTTCTCATCATTTATAGGAGCACGTCAGTATTTTTTAAACGGAACAATTTATAATACGAATAGATACCCGACTCTCTGAGAGATATACAGAATTCATAAATTTTTATTGATTTCATTATCATTAATTTATATTTGAATGATTATAATCCATTGTGTGCATAGGTTTGAACGACTTTTATCAAAGGATGAAAACAACAAAATTCTAAATCAAACAAATACCTTTTTTTCTTTTCCTTTTCTCGGATGAAAAAGCATTTACATGTAAAAAACTTGAAAGCGTCTTGCCATTCGCTTTGTTGAGTTGCTGCTCGTCATGCCGAAATACAAAAAACAAACAAGACATTGATTTTTGCGTCAACGTTTTTCTCCCGGGTGCGAAATATCGACCAAGAGAGAGACACGAATGCGTTTTTTGATCACAGCAACGAAAAATAAATGAAACGATGTCTAATGCATAAAGTGACAACTTTTCTTTTGCAGTAAATATGAACCCACATCGGTATGTCAGAAAGTAAATTTTCGCACCAAGTGGATTAGTCTTTTCAATTTATTTTCTTTCAAAAAAAAAAGTGAATGTGTGTCTATTAGAAATCCTTAACATTTGTTTTGATGGAAAAGGTAAGCGCTTGCGATGTCACAATCGCGTAATACATTAAATCGAAGTTCGAAAATGATCTTCTCTTTACTATGAATTGAAGATAATTCTATGTTTTTCTAAAATTAAATTTTAGATTAAAAATTCAATCTCTATAATTTATTTGTCATAAACACAACAATGAGCGGTTCAACTAATCCGTTTGGATCTTTCACTGGTGTTTTTTCACAACTTTTCTCTTTGGATTCGCCTGATAAAGTAGGTTCCTTTTTTCAACAATATTGGTATGTTTGGTTAATTCTTTCAATCGGTGTTGTTGTACTAATTGCTGTTAACGTAGCAATATGCTGCTATTTTCGTCATCATCGAAAATTAAATGAAATTGATCCAACAACTGGTGAAAAACGTTTATATAATAAAGATTGGGGTATTGCAAAACCAAAACAAACTCTATTTATACCCATTGAACGAAATCTACAAGATTCATCGGAAAGTCCATTAATGATTGATGATTATGATGATTCGAAATTTGCTGTTGAAGCATTGATGGCACATAATTCATTCCGACTACAACATGGTGCAGTACCATTACAACAGAATGAATATTTAAATAAAGTTGCGACGGACTGGGCACGTGAATTAGTGAAAAAGAATCAACTTCAACATAGTCCTGACCCATGGAGACGTTATAAGGGATCAGTGTTAGGTGAAAATCTGGCTTTTTATATTGGACCTCTACTCACTGGCGAGCGCCTTACTAAGATATGGTATCGCGAGTTCGATCAACATGATTTTAATGTTGATTTACAAGAAAATAGTCTTCACTTTTCACAATTAGTGTGGAAAGGTACAAGAGAAGTTGGCTTTGGTCGTTGTCGAACACCAGATAAAAAACAATGGTAGACTTAATTGTTTTGTTTTTGGTAAATAAAAATATATTTGTGCGTTTGATTTAGGTATGGTGTTGCAGTTTATTTCCCGCCTGGTAATTATCCGAATCAATATATGGAGAATGTACAACCTCGTAGTGATCTTGAAAATCAACGTTTCGCTTAAATACGAATAATTGAACATTAAGTTTTTCAAAAAAAATGCATTATCATGTCATTTTAGTTGATGATTTGTTTAAAATTTTTGGTTTCTGTGTATAAGAAAAAGATTGGAAGAAAACAACCCAACGCTAATTTTTAACAATGAAAACAACTACTTATTACCAGTTATTGAAATAAATAAACTGTATATATATATCCCTTTTTCTTTCAAGATAGAAATGAATATTTATGCAGTGAATGCCTCAATGTAAGATAAAATAGAGCTCAATGAAGGTGGTTAAAAATATGCAGTGATCCGTTTCTGATTCGATTTCTTTTTGAACAGTGGTATTTTGAGATGTAGGAGAACTAAAACACAACATCGTTTAGTTTAATTGAAATTCATTGCCTGATCCAATTAATCTTTTTCAAAGGACTCTCTAAATTCTTCACTTCATGCGAAAAACTAATTCCCCTTGCTTAACTGATACAAAATTAAGTAAACTGATTAGTCTCGCCTGTTGTTCATGTGATAAACACTTGGTCCACTTATATACAAGTTTTATGTTTCAATTTTTCATCTACCCCTCCGCATATACACGACAATTGAACAAATAGAGTTATCAGTCTTATCTATTCATATAATTCGCTTCGTTATCGTAACTCGTGCTTCATTCTCTGAAATGGCCACATCAAAAGCAACCGAAAGTTGGTCACAAATTTTACTTGACAAAGTTGTCTTTATAACTGGTGCTGGCGGTGGAATTGGTTCTGCTATATCTCACACATGTGCGTTACAGGGTGCTAAAGTAGTAGTATCTGATGTCGATAAGGCAGCTGCTGATAAAGTAGTCGCAGACATTATTGCAACACGAAATCAAGAATCAGATCGAATCATGAGCATAGAACTTGACACAGTCGATGAACAAGCAATCGAACAAGCAGTAGCATTAGTAGCCGAGAAATGGGGTACTATTCATGTACTTGTTAATGCGTAAGTATGAATAATTTCAAATCGAAGAAAGCATTACAGTTTTTTCTCTCTCTCTCTTGTATTTTTTGATTTCTAGAGCAGCCAATTTTACTGTGGGTTCTATTGAAGATATTTCAGCTGATGCTTGGTCTCATGTTTTCAATGTAAATGTTCGTGGTTATGCACTGATGATTAAACATATTGTACCTCTACTAAAAAAACAACGTTCAGGTTCCATTATTCAGTTTGGCAGTATAAGTGGTGTAGTAGCTCAACCGAATTTTGTTCCATACAATACTACAAAAGGCGCGGTGTTACAATTAACACGAAATTTAGCTCTCGATTTAGGTTCTTATAATATCCGATGCAATTCTGTTTCTCCTGGTTGTATTGGTATGTTTTTTTCCTATGAATTAATTCTTCGTAAGCTTGCAGACATAATTGTGCTTATTCTATTATAGAGACAGCACCAATTTACAGACTTGCTGAATCTTTAAATTTATCAATCGAGGAATTGGCTCAAACTCATGCGGAGAAACAATGCCTGAAACGAATTGGTACACCACAAGAAATAGCAAATCTGGTTGTTTTTCTTGCTTCGGATTTATGTCCATTCATAACTGGTGCAAACTTATTAGCAGACGGAGGATATACAGCTATTTAAGAAGAACTTTATTAGACGATCATTGTCGTTGAAATCGATCGATAAGAAATAAGGACTTTGCTTCTATTTTAATATAATATTGAACTCTATAAAAAAAAAAAGATCACTGAAACATAACTACATGATCTCCTTCAGTTTTTGTTTTTTTGAGAAACTTCCAGCATATTTGATGTAAGTACAGGTATTGTCAATAAGTGATAAAGAACGCCCTCTCTCATATTGACCCAGGTCGAGCAATCCGACAGTAGGCACCTATCGGAACACATCCGATCCGACTGGAATCCAATAGGGTTTTATCGGATCCTGTCAGATCTTACAGAATTATCGTTGGATTCCGGGTCGAGGAATCGATGTCGGATCCTCACTGTCGAATTCCTATGAATTCCAAGGAAAAACCGTTGTATGTCATCGGAAGTTCATAGGATTCCGACACTGAGGATCCGATATCGGATCAGTCGACCTGGGGAGGGGAGGTCACGCTTAGCATTGATACCACGATGAGAGCATATGAATAGAAAGGTTGTAGTGTATCTCAACCGTGACGGTTTATGTTAGTGTAGCTTAGCTCTAGTGTAGTTTCAGTCGTTGGAACTAAAATCAACGCTCAAACTACTTGAATTAAACGTTGGTGCTTGAATATTGCATTGATCACTTTGACTATAGATTGCAAGTAAATAAACAAAAATATCGTTCAGTTATAGTTATTATAAAGCGTTTCTTCAGTCTCTTGAATGGCAAAATCAAAAGGAAACGAAAGTTGGTCTAAAGTTTGTGTGTGTGTGAGTATGAAGTGAAGAAAAAGCATACATCTACACTCTCTTTCTGCTTGGGAAATTTCTATCGAGTGACCGTTTGTGTACTCATGTGCAAATTAAAAGAGAAAAACAGTTTAAATAGACCACAGAAGAACATTGATATGAAATAGTGTCAATATCAATCTTCTTTAAAAACGTTAATAATTAATAAAAATTTCATCGGTGGAATTCCATGACGTTTTACAAGCTTCTGATTGCACTTTACTATGCACCTTGAATAAATTTGATGATTGATATTGAATCATATTTTGGGCAAATTTTACGTGTTCAATTTTAATTAAAACAAAGTGTTTTAACCTAGAACAGTGCGAAGGAATTAAAATAGTTATTATTATTATTTCGCCTTCCTCTCTTTATTGTTACACCCAAAGTGTTTACAATTGACAGTGTATCTATCATGAGGATGTGGATTAGTTTGCATCACTGCAGGGTTTTTCTAATTTTTATTTTGTGAATGAAAAATGTTGCCGCTTTTTAAAGATATTTGAAGAAAAATATTTCAGATGAATAGACATATCCCATGAATGATATTGCCGTTGCTTTCATTGCTGATAGAGTCTGTAGAGATCGTGAAACCATGAGATACATATGATCGATACCACCAACGGTAAAAGTTTTCAAATCGATAGCTGGAAAATATGATGATTTTGCCCCATGTTTTTATTTCTAATACTTGAGATGATCGCATGGGATCATTCAAATTTAATTTGAGTAGCTTTTCTCGCCTTCTCGACTTATATAACAGTTTTTGATGCAATTTGTGATATACCGTTCCATTCATATCCTGTGATACAAGTTCTGCTATGTTCAATTCAAAGAAGTTGTTGAATGCTTTGTGTAGGCAGCTTGGTTGTTAGTCATTCAATAGCAGCGATACGTCAATATGAGTTAACTCTATTATGAAATCTTTAACATTTAAACATGTACGTCCAGCCCGTAGTATGCCAGTACATGGTATATTACGAAAAATGTGACGAGGATGATCTGATAGTTGTGCGTGTGAGATGTATGCTTTCGTCTTCACTTCATAGACACGCCCACATCCAAATGTTTATATTTGCTCGAAATAATTATGATTAAAATTACATTTACTTGAAATTATGCGTAGAATTATATTAAAAGAGACATCTGGAATACTAATTTAAGTTATATTCAATTAGATACATATGATATGTTTCAATTTTTCATCTACCCCTCCGCATATACACGACAATTGAACAAATAGAGTTATCAGTCTTATCTATTCATATAATTCGCTTCGTTATCGTAACTCGTGCTTCACTCTTTGAAATGGCCACATCAAAACCAAACGAAAGTTGGTCACAAATTTTACTTGACAAAGTTGTCTTTATAACTGGTGCTGGCGGTGGAATTGGTTCTGCTATATCTCACACATGTGCGTTACAGGGTGCTAAAGTAGTAGTATCTGATGTCGATAAGGCAGCTGCTGATAAAGTAGTCGCAGACATTATTGCAACACGAAATCAAGAATCAGATCGAATCATGAGCATAGAACTTGACACAGTCGATGAACAAGCAATCGAACAAGCAGTAGCATTAGTAGCCGAGAAATGGGGTACTATTCATGTACTTGTTAATGCGTAAGTATGAATAATTTCAAATCGAAGAAAGCATTACAGTTTTTTCTCTCTCTCTCTTGTATTTTTTGATTTCTAGAGCAGCCAATTTTACTGTGGGTTCTATTGAAGATATTTCAGCTGATGCTTGGTCTCATGTTTTCAATGTAAATGTTCGTGGTTATGCACTGATGATTAAACATATTGTACCTCTACTAAAAAAACAACGTTCAGGTTCCATTATTCAGTTTGGCAGTATAAGTGGTGTAGTAGCTCAACCGAATTTTGTTCCATACAATACTACAAAAGGCGCGGTGTTACAATTAACACGAAATTTAGCTCTCGATTTAGGTTCTTATAATATCCGATGCAATTCTGTTTCTCCTGGTTGTATTGGTATGTTTTTTTCCTATGAATTAATTCTTCGTAAGCTTGCAGACATAATTGTGCTTATTCTATTATAGAGACAGCACCAATTTACAGACTTGCTGAATCTTTAAATTTATCAATCGAGGAATTGGCTCAAACTCATGCGGAGAAACAATGCCTGAAACGAATTGGTACACCACAAGAAATAGCAAATCTGGTTGTTTTTCTTGCTTCGGATTTATGTCCATTCATAACTGGTGCAAACTTATTAGCAGACGGAGGATATACAGCTATTTAAGAAGAACTTTATTAGACGATCATTGTCNCCAATTTACAGACTTGCTGAATCTTTAAATTTATCAATCGAGGAATTGGCTCAAACTCATGCGGAGAAACAATGCCTGAAACGAATTGGTACACCACAAGAAATAGCAAATCTGGTTGTTTTTCTTGCTTCGGATTTATGTCCATTCATAACTGGTGCAAACTTATTAGCAGACGGAGGATATACAGCTATTTAAGAAGAACTTTATTAGACGATCATTGTCATTGAAATCGATCGATAAGAAATAAGGACTTTGCTTCTATTTTAATATAATATTGAACTCTATAAATAAAAGAAGAACGCTGAAACATAACTACATGGTCTCCTTCAGTTTTTGTTTTTTTGAGAAACTTCCAGCATATTTGATATAAGTACAGCTATTGTCAATAATTGATAAAGAACGCCCTCTCTCATATTGATGAGAGGTCACGTTTAACATTGATATCACGATGAGAGCATATGCATAGAAAGGTTGTAGTGTATCTCAACCGTGACGGTTTATGTTAGTGTAGCTTAGCTCTAGTGTAGTTTCACTCGTTGGAACTAAAATCAACGCTCAAACTACTTAAATTAAACGTTAGTGCTTGAATATTGCATTGATCACTTTGACTATAGATTGCAAGTAAATAAACAAAAATATCGTTCAGTTGTAGTTATCATAAAGCGTTTCTTCAGTCTCTTGAATGGCAACATCAAAAGGAAACGAAAGTTGGTCTAAAGTTTTACTTGATAATGTTGTCGTTATTACTGGTGCTGGTGGTGGAATCGGTTCTGCTATATCTCACACATGTGCGTTACAGGGTGCTAAAGTAGTAGTATCTGATGTCAATAAGGCAGCTGCTGATAAAGTAGTCGCAGACATTATTGCAACACGAAATCAAGAACCAGATAGAATTATGAGCATAAAACTTGATACAGCCGATGAAAAAACAATCGAGGAAGCAGTAGCAAAAGTAGTCGAGAAATGGGGTACTATCCATGTGCTTGTTAATGCGTAAGTATGAATGATTTCAAATTGAAGAAAACATGACACTTTTTTCTCTCTCTCTTGTACTTGTTGATTTCTAGGGCAGCTAATTTTACTGTGGGTTCTATTGAAGATGTTTCAGCTGCTCAGTGGTCTCAAGTTTTCAATGTAAATGTTCGGGGTTTTGCACTAATGGCTAAACATATTGTACCTTTACTGAAACAGCAACGTTCAGGTTCAATCATTCAAATTGCTAGTATAAGCGGAGTGGTGGCTCCATTAAATTTTGTTCCGTACAGTACTGCAAAGGGTGCTGTAATACAAATGACACGAAATTTAGCTCTCGATTTAGGTTCATATAATATCCGATGCAATTCTATTTCTCCTGGTTGTATTGGTATGTTTTTTTCCTATGAATTAATTCTTCGTAAGCTTGCAGACATAATTGTGCTTATTCTATTATAGAAACACCACCAGTTCGTAAGTTGGCAGCCTCGTTAAACATGACATTGGAGCGATTTGCTCAAACTCAAGCGCAGAAACAATGTATGAAACGAATTGGTACACCACAAGAAGTAGCAAACATGATTGTATTTCTTGCTTCCGATTTATGTCCATTTATTACTGGAGCTAACTTATTAGTAGACGGAGGTTATACTGCTATTTGAAATAAACTTCATCGTTTAATATACATAGAAATCAAGAAGCTAGAAGTAAAAATTTCTTTTTCGTTGAACTTCATAATGCATGCCATCAATTAAAGAAGTGTAATCAACTTATTTTTTATAGCTATTTTTTATATTAGCTTAAAGATTTTATAGAGTACGTAATTTTCATTTGAATAAACAACTGTCGTGTATTTTATCAGCTTGTTATTACTTGATTATCTGTAATAGGATTATATTTTGATTTAAAATCACATAATAATATTTAATTCATCACTAAATACAGTAAATATTTCTTTAGTTTATAGCATGGTGCATTTTCGTTTAGAGATTTTCGATAGTGCTGATGAATACAGCGCTATTCAAATTAATACGTTTCTACATCCTATCTACCATATATTGACTCGTTTAATCTTTGAAAATCAAACCAAAAACGTTATCCATTTCGAATTTTTCAAGTTGTATAAAAAGATCAAACTTCCTAGGGTTTCTTAGTAACTGAAAACGCAGGTGATAAAATAGAAAACTTTATTTAAAAATAACTAATGAAAAAGTTCATAGAAAAAATGTTTCGTATCGTTTATTGATCTCAAATATTATTTAGTTTATCAGTAATGAGTTTCTCTGAGTAATCCCACCATTCACTGGCTATTTTATCATCTTCCAGATATTTATTAATTACTGATATAGGTTGACAATCTGAATGATAAGCACCTGCTTTCGCATTATTTGATAATGCACAATAAAGATTTGTTTGTGCTCCTTCTAACGGTGTTTTGAATAGTAAATATCTTATTGGATTGACCAATGTACGTATAACCTTACCAGCGCCCATGTGACGATCTAAATGTGTATTGACTCCACCGGGATGCAATGCGTAAGAACGTATTTTATGTGACTCAGCGTAACGTCGTTGTAGTTCACGAGTAAATAAAATATTTGCTGATTTACTTAATGAATATGCTGACATACGATTATACGTATTTGGATTACACATTTGAGCATAATGTGATGCATCGCAAGGTACTTGCCATAAGGCATGTGCAGTGGATGAAACATTTACAATACGTGAAGAATGAAGACGTGGTAAAAGTAGTTTTGTGAAATAAAAATGGCCGAAATGATTGGTGCCCATTTGTAATTCAAAATCATCCTTAGTTTTCAAGTAAGGGCAAGCCATAACACCAGCATTATTAATTAAAGCTGCGATTGGTCTATTTCTATGTATTATTAAACAAATAAAGAAAAAGATAATTTCTATAAAATTGAAATACATACGCATCTTCAGTTTTCATAAATTGTTCAACACATAATTTTATTGACCGTAAATCAGATAAATCCAACACATAGCCAACAACGTTTGCTGGTGATCGTGCTGCTCTTGTTACATCACGTACAGCTTCAGATAGATTCCCTACGCGTGCAAAAAGAATGACTCGTGCACCACGTTTTACCAATTCAATCGCTGTTTCTTTACCAATGCCACCACCAGCACCAGTAATTAAAAATGTTTGCCCTTCAAGGTTAGCTTTTTCAATATCTAAATATTGACCACCTCGAGCTAACCATCGCATTAAAATAAAAACACCGATAAAATACAATAAAAGAGATACATAATTTCCTGATATCCAAGCCCAAATAAATGTTGGTACAAGAATTGAATAGGCCGAAAGAATCAATATAATAATTGAAACGAAGAACGTCAGCAAGGATTGTACTTCTGGTTGATAGAGTAGAAATGTTATTATCGCCATCTCTAACTTGACAAAACAAGTTTTTATACCATTGTGATCGAACGAAAATGTATGTATAAAGCATGCATTATGTATCCAGTAAAAATCCACTAGGTTGACTCTATCCTATAGAGGCAACAGAGAATGCAAGAATTGAAATTACTGATGAATTTTCTTGTTGTTGAATGTTTTGACAACAATAATGCATAGTCAATTTCAAAAATTAGCTTTCAAAACTTTCTTTACACAATTTCCTATTAGCGACATCTGTCGTGATGCTGTGGATCCTATACTTCGTATGAAAAAGATCAAAGTCACGATTGAATTATGAGGAATGGAAACAGGAAACTACAATCCATGGAACTTTCACAGCTAGCACTGTTTAAATACTACAAACGGTCGTAGATGAAGTGTATATTGTTTTTATATAAAGCCCTTCTCTTTTGACATCGTCAAGTCTCAAATATTATTTATGGAACATGATCATCAACATGCCTATGTATGTCGATATGCTACAACGTCATATCCTTCGTTTTTTCTTGGCTTACGTATAAATGAAAGTCTAAGACAAAGTTTTGTTGTTTGATAAATCAAATACTGAATTTCATAGTGAATAGTTTTTCTTATCTACAAGTAACCATTATATATGCGAGACAATATTCTACGTATTATTGAAAATGTTAAACGAAACGAAACTACATATTTGGTGTTTTTTTTGCGCCTTATCTCAAATCATTGATAGTGTGATGTAGTGAAATGTATTTGTTAATTTCGTGTTTCCTTTTTTCTGTTCTTTAGCTCTCCTGATGAATCATAAAAGAGATAGATTTATCTCTATATTCATATATGTATATGTTGTAGGCAAAATTAAAATCCAGTCAAATTTGAAATTTGACTAGGCAAAATTAGAATTAGAATTCTGCCTAGGCAAAATTCAAATATCTTTTTTATAGTTAAAAGAAGTAAAATGTTTGCGTGTTGATCGATTTCTCTTTCTTCGCGTTCTTTTAACTATAAAAAAGATATTTGAATTTTGCCTAGTCAAATTTCAAATTTGACTGGATTTTAATTTTGCCTACAACATATATATATATGTTCTCTTTATCAGAGAGAGTTAGAGTGATTGTTCGTTTCTTTCATCTCTACGTTGTTTCATATATTCTGTTCTTTGAAGTCAATAAAACAAGTTATTGACCTTGAACTCTGTATTTGTCTATTACGCATTTGGTATTTATTTATTACGCATTTCGTAATACGTGACAGATAGTAACACTAAAATATTCTGTCAATGCAAACGACTTTCAGCGACTTCACGACTTGCATAGCATACAGACTTATGATTGGCTATTGACAAACGCAAATAGAAACGTAGAGTTATTACAATCTATACTTGATCGATTTCATCATCCATTTCATGTTCTAGAACACTCTCATTACTCTTAGCGTAGGTAGGCCTTTTCTTTCATTAGCGAGTATATTTATGCATGTATTCAAGTACATTTTAGATATTTAAATCTATCGAAGGAGGATGTTACGTTTACTTGCTCGTATGCCAACAATGCGTTTGGCTTCATCAGTACCGCTTCAAATGTTGAAGCGAACACAATCGATTGCTGTTAATCAACGAGCAGCAAATAGACAACAACAAGCACTGATTCGAGGAGGAATAGCTTTTGTAGCTGTCGGCAGTGCTGGATATTTACTTAATAAAGTAAAAACTTGATAAATGTGTGTCTTGGTGTTTATTTCTAACATATTTATTTAGGTTCTTAATACTCCAGTTGGTGTTGTACCCGGTACTATAACAACATCGAAACAAATGACTTTTGCTGATGCCGTTGAAGCTAACCGACCATTTTCTCCTGTTGTTAAAGAACACTTACGTTCAACTTATGCTCACTTTGCAGGTGGTCTTGGAATGACAGGTACTTTTGCTTATATTTTTCATCGAACTGGATGGTCAGCAAGAATAATGATGAGTGAGTATTTCTTTTTTGTTTCATTTCTTCTATCTTTTAAACAACATAACTGCTCGTTTTTTTTCTCTAGTGAATAGATGGGCGTATCTTGGTATATCTCTTGTTGGTACCATCGGAGCTTTATATGCAACAAAATCAATTAATGATCGAGAAAACCCTGGACTTAAATATGGCACATGGGGAATTTTTAATGCTGCTATGGGTCTTTCATTAGCACCTATTTATTTTATGCAACCAGCTTTAATTGCTCGAGCTGCCCTTATGACCACAGGCATTGTGGGCTCGATTAGTGCCGTTGGCATGACTGCAAAACGGGAACAATATTTATGGTTGGGAGCTCCATTAAGTAAGTTAAAAAGAAAACTTTATTGCATCAATATGTTCGATTTTCATTTTCATTCTAGTGGCTGGCCTTGTTGCTGTTTGTCTTGCTTCTATTGGATCTGTAGCTCTACCAGCTACAGCTATTCGTACTTTATCTATGTTAGAAAATGTTTCACTCTATGGTGGACTTGCTGTTTTTTCTGGTTTAGTATTATGGGATACTCAAAAGATTATTGCACATGCCGAACATGCTCGTTACACAGGGCAATTATCACCCATTAATGATGCCATTGGAATATATCTTGATTTTATTAATATTTTCATCAGAATGCTTGCAATTCTGAATGGTCGACAACGAAAATAAATATACCAATTGATTGATTACATTAACCAACTTACTTGTATAGTGACATATATGTTTTATTTTTAAAATAAACTGCTTACAAAACTTAAACTGGAAGTTTCTAAATAGATTAGTTTCTTATCTGACACATTGCTTTTCAATGAAAATTATACTAAAGGATGTACATTTAAATAATCTATGACTATTCTGAATAGATTTTGTATACTTTGCGCTGACTACTTTAGTTTTAAAGATATTTTTTGAGAACATCAAGAAGATTGATATTCGGATAAAAATTTCAGATTTTTTTTAATGTTTTTCTAAATTGAACGAAGAAAATCATCTGCGGAATATTCATAAAAAATTTTAATCACTTTTTCTAAATCTTACAACTGCAGTCATTGCATACTTTATATCAAGCAATCCACTTGAAGATGTTCATTGTAATTTTTGTTTTTGAATATAAACTAATGAAAAACAGTTTCAGGAAGACGAAAAAAGTCACATTGCTTCGAACTTTTCAGAGTTATAAAGTCTTGAAAATTTGATTGACACCATAAAAGTTACCGGAAATTCATGTGCAGTGTTCCTTACGGAAGTTATCTAGTACAATTGAAATCATATCATTAATAGACAACATGAAATACAATAATCGTATTATGTGATGAACATTATTAAACTGTAATTTCCTTCTGTATCCTGTGGCATATGCAAGTTCTTTTTCCTGTTTATAGTTTGAGATACTTCTCGCATAGCTTTACGTGTCAATTTGAAAATAATATGTATTTGAGAGCCACAACAACAAAAAAGGGCAACATATTTCAAATCTGACTAAAAAAGAGCAATAGGAAAAAAAGAATATCGAAATTTGATCTCTAAGTGAGGAAATCAAGAAGCTTCTGATTGGATCGAATTCATAACAGTTATCGTCTCTGATCTATTGACTCATGGCCATGAGTCAAAGGTAAAATAAGTGTATTATTTAGTGATTTTCTGTATGTGTGTAGAGAACATCGTATAAATATCAACTATTCGTGAAACTTTCTTGGTTATTTTACGATGTCTACCAAACTATTTCCTCTTGTCTTTACATTGATAATCCTTATTCTACTGGCCAATATTCCTCATATGGTAAAAGCTCAATATGGTTTGGGAACAGCTTGCAAATGGGTCAAGGGAAAGACAGGCTGGGGTTGTGATGATAAAATAAGCCGTGCGGTTTGGCGCAAAATAAATGGGGTAAACAATTGTAATGATTTTTGCCACGGACGTGCAGGTAAAAGAGGTGGTCACTGTATCTCAAATGGTAATTATGATACAAGTAGTTGGTGTCCTAGAGGACAAACATGCCAGTGTTATTAAAGCCCAAATCATATTTTTTTCCTTTTACTAAGTTCTATTTGTGCTTCAAAATAAATGAGAAAACATATTACAATTCAATTTTAGAATTTTTGATAACTAACTTATAGTTCACTTATAAGATCAACTATGATGCTATTCAATGAGATTTTAGTAAAGCTGATATATATATGTATATATATATCATACCGATTCAAACGTGTCATGTTCTGCATTTCTCACAATTTAAACATATTTTGAGTAACGTTGTGACAGATTGATGTCATATAAGGATTCAGTAACCAGTTTAGTTGATTTCTTGTTACACATAGATCAAATCATAAAATATTTCTGTAAAATAGACTCGATCATCCAATAGAAGAGAAGTCATCCTAGCTGCCAAAATCCTATTCTTTTAATACCAAGATAAAGTACAAGAAGTTATTATTAGTCCTTTTCTTCTTCTTTAATATGCTCTATTTATATTCTATTTCATATTGGATTTATCAGCTTTATATATAACTCGTTGAACATATACAAACGATTATTGCATAAAAACTTTTTAATTCAAAATGTCAATCCTAAAACATATCTTCAGTATACATGTATATATAGCATGTAATGAAATATGTAAAAATTTCATTAAAATGATCATTCTTATTGTTGTGAATGAAAAGCAAATTATTTTCATATTAGCGTCAGATAAATAATTTCAAAGAAAATTTTTAATTTATCATTAATATCTTCAATCGATGTTCATCTAGTCGAATATTATAGTATTAGAATAGGGTAAGTGTTAAAACATTTCTTTCGCAAATCAACTGCTCGAATGGAAAAAAAATCGTTTTTATATCTATAGCATGCACTGGATAAACCTGAAAGTGCTACAAATAATATTGATAGAAAAACCTCTGACGATAACTTATTCTTGTTAATGTAAATGCTATGATTCTCTTGCAAAGACTAGACACGAATAGATTTTCAATATGAAACTTCACATAGAGACAGTCCTTCGTAATAATTCTTTAATGTGAATGGTTCATATTTTGTTGCCGTTCTTATTTCAACCTAAAACTTCACTAATATCAGTTATTCTATGTTGTTGTGGCAATATTTCGAAGAATAACGAATATTTATCTAGCTCACAATTTCCTAAAATATAGTCTTTCTTTCAATGAAAGTTTACACGACAGTATACTCAAGTGGTTACGAGGTTTGACTGCTAAATGACACTCTGCAGTCAGCAGATTCCCCTGTGGAATGAAGGTTCGGATTATTTTACTGTCGATTTTCTTGTTGTTGAGAAGAAATTATTTGTTCTATGCAAACTGACTGACAGTTTTTCTTTCGTACGTCTTTCTTTAGAAGAAGAAATATGTCAGTAAATTCTCGAATTTCTAAATCTCTTCTTTGTTTTTCTAGTGCATCAATAAAGAATTGAATTAAGTCGACGAATAAAAAGAATATTCTGATAATCTCTTTTCTTTTTTCTTTCATATCGTACAAAATTAATCGTCTAGGGATTCAAATGTCAACTGAAGAACTCATCTCTTGATTTATTCACAATGACTGTTCTCTATATTGTCCTTTATACCAAATCAAATCAATCACTTTCCTTATCATTTCATTGATGTCGATGTTTAATTTTGAAATTCGCCGAATTATTTCGAAAAACGACGTATTCCGTACAAAGCTTCTATTGTAAATATGTTGTTTTCATATTAGGAGAAAGGGCTGAAAAATGTTCTTTCAATAAATATCTTTGCAAAGAAGACATACTTATAATTATCAACTATATCGATAAAAATTTACATTGAAAAATTGGAAAGAAAATTTTCAGAAGGCTAATTAGTAGACGCAAAAAATGTTTAAGATTATGATGACCTACTAATCTCTGACGAGAGACTCCATCGTAGACAGCCTCCTGAAAATAGTCGTATTGATACATTCCTTATGTGTCTCGATTTCTAGATACGCCTGACTCATAGCTATGGATAAAGCTCTTTGCATAAATAACTTATTTAATAATAGCCAAGGCTCAAAACAATAGAGAGATACAATTCGATTTAGTATAACATAAACAAAATAAAAAAGAAATGAGCATAGATTTCTCGAGGAAAACAATGTGTTAAAATATATGTATAATGTTTTCTTAGAGAAAAATAGAAGGTAGATAAAGATAAACTAAACAATTTCTAATTTAAGTTGATGATTATAGAGTGTTTTGAAAATTTCGTTTTTTTTCTTTTCTGTAGACAGACAGTGCACTCAAATGGTTAAGAGATTCGACTACTAAGTCAAACATTGTTGTAAACGAAATCCCTTCGGGAGCAAAGTTTCGAATATTTTCAATGAAAAATATTTTCTATTAAAAAAACGAAGCGGTTCTATTTAAATGAAAAATGAATAAGAATTGCTTTGTTTGTATAAATCGAAATACCAATTTTTCTTCGAAAAAGGTCTATTCAATATCTTGTTATATGAAATACCAGTACTTTCGGTGTTCCTAAATTGTTTATATACATCCAACACGTATAACTTGTCAAGCTAACATACATATTTGTATAATCCATTAATCTACATATTTCATAAAAAATAATAAATCTTTTATTTGTATCCATCGATCGCAATTGACAAATAGATTTATGTGACAGAAGCCGACCTGAATTCATCATGCGATATAATGAGAACAAATAGGCTATTTATTGCTTCAGAAAGGGCTAGTTAGCTCATTTCTTCATGTAGATGGATCAAGAGTGAGTTGTCAAGAAATAAATTCTAGATCTGTATGCATAGGAAAAATAATTCATCAAACTTATCTATAATGTATTGCATGCATGCAGAGATTCAAATGTAATGTATATTAAGTTCAAGATGATAATCATTCTGATCAATTTTCCATTATCTTAATACTCAGTCGACTTAGAAATTACGGCCAGTAATATATATATATATCTGAATGTTTTAAATCTATAGAAACTATTTATCTACAGTCCAATTGAATTGACATGTATGCTTTTGTAATCGAAATCACGTAGGCATATATTTTTAACTGATTTATCGTTTAGAGTTCATATTTATATCAAGTCGATTTACATACGTTTGAGTAGTTCAGTATGAACTGAAGATTTCTATCAGAACAATATGTTTAATTGAGTATAACTAAATTTTATTGTCCTATATGGGTAGCAATGCTATAAAATATGCGTACATATTTAAGAGAAGTAGTTAACTCCGAACTAAATGTCTTAATATATGTAGTATGATAGAAACGAAGTCGTTGACAGCGATCGAACAATAATAAATTGTGTTTCCGCCCAATCGATTGTTGCTCATCTTGAAGGCGATAGAAATGGCTTTGTTCCTTTTTCTTTTGCTCGCATCCGATAATCCTTTAGTCTATCGTATGTTTCCACGATGCATGGACGAGCATTCAAGAGTGCCAAGAGGAAAAAAGAAAATCTGTTTTCAATATCGATCAATAGTTTTTCTATCTTATTTTTTTTGTCTTTTTCCTCCCTCCTTTTTTGTGCTCTTCTAAATGACAAATCCATAGACATACACACACAAATAGTCTTTTATTTTTCTTTTTTTCTTAAATTGAGAATTCGATGATGATTATGACAGAAACATCTTTTACTTCAGTCTTATCCTATCCCGCAGGGTACATCAAGCAACACTTGATCAGATTTCCCTTCGTCATCATTGTCATCTTTGTCTCGCATATGAATGCATAAGAATCAATACGGTTACCAGCCGTGTGTTGCACACTTGATCATGCGAACGAACCTCTCACTTGTTATCGTCGTGCTTTGTTTTATCAAAAACCTACTGCAAAATAATACTAGAAATTTTATTTTTACTGGCGATGAAAAAAAAGACGAATTGCAACTAACGCAAAAATCAACTTAACTAGGTAAGCCAATTGATTTATGTATCCTAAGAATTTTCCAGACTCTAATAATTTTTTCTCCTCATTGAAGATAATTTCGATATTTTTTTAACTGTTCTTTTGTTTTGCATATGATCCAATAGGCTTAAACATGATTGAAATGCGCATTTTCAAAAGTAGAAAAAAAGACATACATAACCTTGTGATTTTCCAGGATTATTTTTTTAATATTGAAACCATAGGATTAATAACAAAATAAAAGTATTATGAATATGTCTACATGTAATAATATGATTCATTTTTATGAGTTTTTCTACCGAAGTTTTTCTAGCAAGCAAGTTTATCGGCTGCCAAAATAATTGTTTGAAAGGTTCGTACTGAGAAAAGAAAACTCACCAATGAGATTAAACTCCAATTACTCTTGAAAATAGAAATAGATTACTAATTGATTTAGTCATCTATAAAACTCCCCTTTTGATTATCCTAATATTATGATGTATAAAATTTATTTTGTTTTGCCTTTAATCGTCTTGTATTCAGACGGATATTCGGCAAATTTTGTTAAAAGTACTATTAGCTTCGGGGACTAATCAAGAAGAAAGAAAAAGGAGAATAACTCGATAATAATAATCAGAAGTCCCGTTTTTTTATACTATTAATTATTTTGCTTTGTGATTATCTCCTTTGTTTGATGTATGTGCGTTTCTTGAGAGAATGAGGAGGAAGTTGTTAGTATGTGGTTAGTATTAGTCTGCTATTCGTACAGTGTTCTTTGATACAAGAAAAACTACTTATTTATTACAGTAAGTTGTTTAAGTCGTATTTTTTCTTGTTTTATTTGAGCAAACAAATTGACAATGACTCATTAATTTCGCTCTTCTATTTCGATAAAAAGAATCATACAATCGAGATTGATAGATTGCTATTGAATTATCTACAAACTCATTGATAATTTTGTCTTTGTTGTTGTTTTTTCTTTCAGTGAAATCTATATCGAATAGAAATCGACAAAGAAATGATGATTGCATTATGATCTGAAAGTTCTAATTTAATTTAGTTTTCTGAATAGAAAGATAATAATAATATTATGCAACATAGAAACATTTGCATACGGTGAGATTGAACTTATATT